AACAACAACAACAACAACAGCAACAAGACACCTCCATTCGAAATAACAATGGGTTTTCACGTTCTCTCAGAGGCTATAGTTCCAGACATGTTAGTTTCAAGGAAGCGATTGAGGATCCAAGGTCTGACTTGAATGCATTTTTGGACACCAGTAAGCCAATTGGATCCAACATGTCCATGTTTCTACCACTGGCGCTCGAACCAATTCCTCTGCAACGAGAACGAATCATCATGTTAGCAGAAGCCTATGCGATTTATGGGAGTTTGTTCATCAATGCAATCTTTTTCATCTTTGAGTATGGGGCTGACAAGCCATTTGAAAGCATCATGTTGGAACGAGCCTTCGAGGGGATGATTGCCATTGCAATGTTCAGCACCATTTGGACAGCTCTTGCTGGTGGCAGTCTGTGGTTATTTTGTATTCTCAATTCCGCCTCCCGAAACGACTGGGTATATGGACTTCGGCATTGGCTTGCTTACATGCAAATTCTACAGCTAGTGGTGTACTTTACGACAGCAGTGTCTTTCTTTCTCGGTATGTACAACCGCATGAACAATATTTCTGAGATTCAGTCGATTGTCTTTATGAGCATATTGGGGCTTGGGGCAGTGGCATTGGGAAACGTGACCTCTAGTTTCCTGGCAAACTACATGTCTCTGGAAGGTTTTCATCTTCCTTTCATCCTAAAGGTAATGTTGTTCTATCCAGTTGGAATTAGTAACAAGACACTGAAAGCAAAAGCCACCAAACAAGCTGAAGATCTGAAGGAAAGACTGGAAAGTGAAAAGGTCTTGAGCAAACAGGCACAGGCGCACCAAGATGAACTTCTAGACTTGTTGAGTGCGGCAGCGGCTGTTTTGGGAAGAAGCAATGCGGACACAAAACCGTATGTAGCCAAGCTGCACAAAGATTGGTATGATAACGTTGAGAGTCTCAGCGATCTAAACGTGGATGACCTTAGTAAATACATGCCGAGACGTCTGGCGCAAAGTGTCTCGACGTTGTTGCAGCAGCAACAAAACGATGGATCATAGTCTTGCATTTGAGTCACACTGGACCCATCCAACCCTTATAGACAGCCCAACCTACTCTTGTGGCAAATTGTCATTTGGGCAATGGAGAACCTAAGGAAAGCTGCAGTATCTATAGTATCTATAATGTAATCTAGTTTCCAACGGATGGCCATGTATGTTTTCATGATAATGAAGAAAAAAACACTTAGCAACCACGGCAGTGTCAAGAACCACCTCTTCACTTTTCCATCAACGTCGGGACGCAATAAGATTTCAACCCCTTCCGTTCCAGGATAATCCTCAATGCCTTTTGGAATAGCCTTGGTACTACCGATCACTTTATGTATATAGGTAGTCTTTCGCATACAGCCCCTCTTCAATCGCCACCACTACTACTTGCCGGCGCATGTTTGACTTCACGAACGGTTTGAGCATTTGATAGGAAAACTTGGCCCAGGGTCAAATCTACTGGAAATAACAATGGTCATGAACGGCCCGAACCTAACTGGATTCAAGGAATCTTGATCAAGTCACGTCCTTGGTCTTGTGCAACTTGGATTCCAAAAAGGTGTAGCTAGTGAGGACTGATCCATACAAAAGACGCGAGGAGCAGCAATGTCCTCTTGGATTAATGGTAGCGTAGCAAAAGTGTTCCCAATCAATCAATGGCTCCCAAATCCAACCAACATACCAAGGGCTGACAACAATCGTCGATGCTCATTTTTCATAAATCAAAAATATCGATAGAGTATCCTTGATGGAAGTGGCGGAAAGTTCCTCCTCCAGGTTATCTTTCATGTCCGGCATCCATTTGATGTTTGTATTATATTCTTGCACTGTGCATTACTATACACTATTACCATGATTATGATGGTGATGATGGAACAAATGTATTCAAGACTCCTACTCGATGTCCAACTCCTGTGTAGGGATTGTATGTTTTCTATCTGTCTTTCTGGCTCATTGTTTTAGTAACTCGTGTGTGTCTTCTTATGTGTGTATTGTGTCGATACTGCATAGCTATAGTATATATATAGAGAGAGAGTAGTAGAGCGACCCATCATCCTCCTACAAAAGTATAGTGTCACAACAGTCAAGTTTCCAATCGTATTGATACCCGCCCGCTACAGTATTCTCAATAATTCGCATCGGCGGTGATGTCGTGGAGAGAGAATAATAGTTGTTCGGTGACATCCGCATGCCACAGACACCTACACACAATGGAAACGATGATTTTTGCGAAGGTTCGGCAGAAGATTCAGACAAGGATACAGAAGCCAGAAGCCGAACACGAAAGGTACTTTTGTAGTTTTCATTTGTATGATGGGTGTAGTTACAGTACAAGTATTTTAGTATTTAGAAACTCTCTAGGGTACAACTGTGTAGGTATATTGATTGAATAAAAGCCTTGGCTCCTTGATTGCTTTCACCATCACCATGCTTCAATTTGGAAGAAAATCTCGTCCAAGTATGTTTCTGTAATACCACCAATAGTACCCATGACTTCCTTGAACCGATTTTTCTTTGCCACCTTGTTGTTGTTATTGTTGTCATCAACAACTTCTTGCTTGTCGTGGGCATTGTTGGCCATGAAGCTCAAAAAAGTCTGCCAGACTACGCCGACACAGTTAATAACAAGGACTTGGAACTTGACGGGGGCGTATCGAAAGGTCACCAACATGGTGGGGACCCACAAAATCCATTCCGCCACGATGATTTGTCCCAGCTCGTTGGACAGCATGGTCTTGATCTTGTCCGGTGAGGTTCCTTCGAGAGTCCAAAGACCGCCCAAAAAGGCAGGGATGTAAATCGGCGAAAAGACAAACTCATCCCAAAAGGTTCGTTGCATGACCCGAGCAATGGAGGTTCCAGGAACGGAACGATTGATAAAGGAATACCAATGGTGCAAGACTGGAGCCACAAAGACGGCATTCAAAAAGGCAAATCGACCCACTGCGCCCCATTGCACAATAAACTTCTTCTCTTCTTCTCGAAGCTCTGCAAGGGCGGTTTCTCCATTCGCATTGGCCATTCGCGTTTCATAGTCTTCTTTGGCCTCTTCTTGATCCGTATGGAACTTGATGTACTGTGCCAAAATGTTGCCCGTAGACGAAATGACGGCAGCAGAAGCAGCTTTGGTGACAATGGGCCGTTCGTCCAATTGGCGGGAGTACCACGCAAAAGCGGATTCATTCTCGTGCTGTCGAACTTCTCGCAGCTTGAAGGAAGCCGTGGAAAAGTTTCGCTTCAGACGTTTGAACTGAAGGCGCACGAATGCTTGAGCTTTCACAGAGTTCATTGTCTTTGTTTAGTAGTGTGAAGTGTGTAAAGCGTATCACAGGGTTGTGGATGGGTAGTAGCAGTGATGTGGTTGGTAGTTGTCACTGGGTAGAAGCTCTTGCCCCATTCTCAAATCCCAAAAAAATACGTTTGGAAAAATGTGAGAAGAGGTGTGAGATTCCCGATCGAGGATGAAAAAAAAAAAAAAAAGGGCGAGGACAAAAACTGTGATTTTGCTTGGCAAACATCTCGTAGAATACAGGTAGAAATTGTACTGGATCGAACGATTGATTTTTCAACGCAACAACTTGACAAGAACACGTACCACGAGTACAGAAGTATCCCATGCTCGAGGTAAGAAGTAACATTTTACTTATGTGCCGAAACTCCGCTTGTTAAGTGCGGACTTCCGCGAGCTCTAAGTGATACAGATGACGGATCAAGTTCGAGTTCGAATTCGGCTTTTGGACTAGTTCGAATTCGAATTGGACTACATCGAATACACAGACGTGTGATTGGATGTGATGTGGTGACAACTTGAAGATTCAAACAAATTGAAAATGATTGACAACTTGAAGGTTCGGAGTTGCCACATCAACGAACTCGTTTGGCGCAGTCAACGAATGTAATGTATGCAAGTACAATACATAGTCCTACTATTACATGTGTACTAGTTTATTATTGCTATTATTATTATTATTATTCCAGAGCTGTAGCTTGTGCGCTCCTGTTCTAGCTATTTTCGTTTTTGCTTGCTTCGTTTGTTTGTGTATTTATTTACATCGTCGTACACGTACCTCCATCCGACCATCCTGAAAGCAAACTAACTTGATTTACCAAAGATTGAACAGTGTAGGTTTGGAAATGGAGGCAAAGTATGGGTGTCGAACAATCTTTTGGGCACTGGGGCGTTGTTTGGGATCCAGGGCAAGGCAGAGTGACACCAAATCAGCCAAGTCGTCGTCCTCAATGCCAATGGACGGGTTGGGGACATTCTTATGAGACAGTTTTTGCATAATGGCATCGGGACTATTGCCGTCGTAGTATCCGATTCCAGTGGCAAGCTCGTAGGCTAGCATTCCAAAGCTCCATACATCATAACTGTAGTCCAACACAAAGCTATGAGGATCTCCAGAGACGTACTCCTTGGCGAATTCAGGTGGACTAGCTTCCGGAGTGAAATCTCGTGGATGTTCCTTCCAATTCATGGCAGATTCCAAGTCAATCGCCTTGACCTTGTGTCCACCATCTTCTTCTTTACTGTCACTTTCCACGACGACAAAATTTTCCGTCTTGCAATCGGTCCAGACCATGCGTGCCCCGTGCATGGTATCCAGACATTGACCAACTGAATACAGCGCTTCCTTTAAATCGTTCCCTTCCATTCCTATCCATCGTCGGTGTTCCTTGAGATCCCGGACACCACGCTCCAATACCAAGGCAGACTTGCCAGGCCGATCTTGGACGTCCGACACAAAGTCGTGACACTTGACCACAACTCCCTTGCTAACACCCGAAGCAACACGCTTGTAAATAGAATGTTCCTTCTTCATGGCATCTGTATTCTCAGACAGCTTGATAACAATGGGATTGCCAGTAGGCTTATCATTGGTATCCGCATGGTAGGCACCCAAAATGAGACAACGACCCGTGACGCTCTTTTTGGCTTTCCCGGCCAACAAATACTTTCCGTCGCAAATGGTCCTGCCCGTCAAGGTCAATTCGTCCTTGTGGTGTTGTTGTTGTTGTTGTTGTTGTTGTTGTTGTTGGGATATGGCCTTTGACTTTTGGGCCTTTCGTTTTCCATATGCAGAGGTAGACGTGCGTGCGGTAGCTTTCGTTGGTTCTGGCGTTTGCTTTTCGGCTGGAATGCTGTTTCCGTGTGTCAATAATTTGTCTTTGGGACTTCCAGTTGACTTGGACCCAAAAATGTTGAATGGTGTATACGGCTGGCGTTTGCTACCAGTACCTTGATCCTCTGGCTCCTTGTTGTTGTTGTTGGTATTATTGAACTCCTTGGTTTTTCCCTCTTGTGTCTTTTCGGTGTGAGCATTGCCAAAAAAGTTGATTCGAGGCAGTGGAATAGAGGTCGATGGTGGCGACTTGGCGGCATCCGGTGTTTTTGGTGGTTTGGTTTTGGCTGCTGTGTCCTCTTTACTTTTCTTCTTGGCCTTGCTACTGGCAGAGCCAAAGATACTGCTAATGGTTGGAGTTACTGTCTTTTTCGACTTGGGTGTTTCTGCTTTGATTGGCTTGGGTTCTTCGTCTTTCTTGAGTGACGTCTCCTTCTTTGCTGGCTTGTTTTGCAAATTAGCAAACAGATCGATAGATGGTGACGACTTTTTTGCTTTCGTTTCTTTCGTTGCGGCCGGAGTAGGTGGAGATGATGGAACTTGCTCTTTCACCCCTACTGATGGTGCAGGTTTGGTGGATGCGGCGGCAGCTGGTTGCTTTGGAGCGATTGTCTTGTTCGTCTTCTTGGTGCCCAACTTGTACCGAGATCCGGATTTGGTGTTAACCGTGATGCCATCACGGGCACCCATTGGATTCACCAACGCACTCGTTCGAACAGGTTCACCATCTGGTAAGGATGGGTGATTGAATACAGATCCGATTACTTCACCATCTTTTGTCAATTCCCAATTCTCAAGACGGGGAGTTTTGAGTGCTGTGACAACTGGTGAGCTCTCTTTGGGAGGCTGTTCCGTTTGCTTCTTGGTTGGAGCAGTCGTTGTTTTCTTTGGTTGCAATGACGATGATGATGATGAGGATTGAGCAATTATTTGGGCTCTTGCCAGTTTGGTTTCCATTCGACCAATTTTGACCATGCGCTCGGCTAGAGATTGCTTGACCCGTGTAAGTTCCTTTTGAGAGCTTGTGGAAGCCTCTTTGGAAGCCTCCGTTTCATGCCTGGCCTTTTCAAGTGTTCCTTCGAGCTCTTGTTTGGCAACCTCCAAATTGGAAATGGTTTCACGAGCCTTGGCATCATTAACGGCCAATTTGGTCATTTCCGATTCCAGCTTATCAATTTTCGCTACAAGTTGTTGCTCCTTGGTTTTAAAAGCTGCTAATTCGGATTTGGCACTGGCTGTATGTTTTTCCAAAGCTTGTTTGGATCTGGTCAATTCCGATTCAACTTGTTCCAAATTTTGATTGGCCAACTCGAGAGCCTCTTGCTGTTCGTTTAGTTTCGTTTGCAGAAGTGCACCCTCTGTATCTTGTTGCTGTTGTTGTTGTTGCTTGGTGGTGGTATCCTTGTCTTCGACATTCGCCATCATGGCCTTGGCGGCGGCGGATGCTTCCGCTTCCAATCGCAGATTGACTTGTTCCAGCTCCAGCCGTTGCTTTTCTTCATGCCTCAATTGCTGTTCCAATTCTTTTTTCTCTTGATCGTGTCGTTCTTGTTGCAACTCCAGCAGTTGGGTAAGATCCCTTTGCGTCAGGACCAATCCTTCTTTTGGAACGGAAGAAGGATTTTGCAGCAAACTTTCCAAGGAACCAAGGGAAGAAAGTTGCTGTGGGGCTTTCGAGGAGGTTGCCGCCAATGTTTGTTCCACTTGGAATTGTGCCATGATTTGTTCATTGAATTGTTCAAGGCGTTGCAACTCTTGTTCGAGGCGGACTTGTTCTTCCTTAAACTCTCGAGTCTCCAATTCATTGACAACTTGAGTTTCGTGAAGGGTATCTTCCAACACCTGAATGGTCGCCAGAAGTGTCTCTTCCAGTTCCTTTAGAATTGGATCTTCCTCATAATCTTCTTGCTCTTCTTCTTCATAAACATCAACGTCGTACAGCAGCGTTTCGTTCAGAGTCTCAGGAATGCTGGTACTACGTTCCTCATCATCATCATCATATTCAGATGATTCAGCCTTGTTATAATTAGTAGTAGTACTACCATCGTCTAGAGTCGTCAATAAATCACTCATTTGTTCCGACATGGCTTGCATCATGTCTTCGTCGTTCAAGCCAACTAAGGACGATTCGTCACCAAGTTCGACATGGCGACGAAGAACATTATTCTGTTCTTGCAATGATGATGTTAATGAGGAGGCATCATCATCATCGTCATTGAATTGCGTCAAGGATGATTGCTTCAATTCGGATGCGTGCAATGGCGGCTGCTGGAGGGTTCGAGGAACAGATCTTCCAGCTTGCGGCATTCCTATGGAACCAAAGGCATCGACCGCTGAAGATACGACGATTGCCGACAGAATGGATATTTGAAATATGACAGACATTGACGCTGAAGCTGGACATTGCTGCCTTTGGCGTTTCATGGTGGTAATTGTCATCTTTGCTTTGTTTAATGTATTGTTCAGTGCTGGTGATGGTGATGCTTGTGTAACAATCGGCAAGTGCGATGGATGCCTTCACAGTGGATGATGGTTGGTTTGATTTGTATGTGGGAAAAGGATCTGGAAGCTATTATTTTCGGCCGAAAGCTTCCCCCGTCCATGTGGCACCAATCAGATGGTTTCTCAAAAATTTGGATTCCATTCTTCGTCTGTGGAAATTCTGTACAAAACCTACCATAGAGTTTGAATTTGACGCCTGGCAGCTTGCGGACTGCTCTCTCCGGATCGTCATGGAAGAACAAACAGACAAACAGAGACCTTGCTTCAACTTGGAACGATTTCATCAGATTCTCTTGTTCGTTTCCTTTTTTGGCTCGGTCCAAAGAATCTTAGCCAATTTGGATCCTGGTGGCAGATGCTCTAATGCATTATCTTCTTTGTCCCATTACGTCTAACGGAAGGAGTGTAGATATACTGTAATGGTCTTAGGGTTGGGTTTTCATCTGATTTGCTCATGAGGTTACTACATAATGATCTATTATTATAGTATCTATCTTCTTTTACTGTTTCATTCTATGATACATCATTATAACACGACGCTATTGCCCCTGGGCACATATGCATCCATTCTTCTTCATCCACCAATTTTGCGTACTTATAAACATAAAATCTAGCACGCCCATTTTTATACAATCATTCCGCTCCTTGCGACGACGAATCCCATGCTTGCAATTGGACCGGGCACCGACAAAATGGCATGACATTCGAAATGATCAATTCGGCACCACTGTTGATTCGGCAATTGTTTCGCATTGCCAAAGCTTCCGGGTCATCGGTCTCCACCACTTCTTCATCATCATCATCATCATCATCATCATCATCTTGAGCATGACCACCACCAACAGCACCAACAGCACCATCAGTACTACTTTTCTCCTCCTCTTCCACCACAGTCTTGGAAATAATGCTGCTCCTATCAACGATACTTTCTCGTTCCGTTGTCAAGATGCTATAACGATCGGCAGTGCTACTAGCAGTAGTTTCCATGGACGAACGTGTCGTTGTGTGAGTAGTATGAGTGGAACTCGACAATCTTTTGCTGGGATCCACCATAACTTCTTTGGCATCATTATTTTTTTCGTCCTCTTGTTCTTGTTGTTCCGCAGCAGAATTAGAATCAGAATCAGCAGTAGCAGTAGCAGCTACTTCTAGAACAACGGGAAGCTCCACATGCTGCTGGTGCTGGTGCTGGTTCTTGCCATCAACGTCACCTTGACTTGTTGTGTTTGTGGTTTGGTCGACCTTGCTTTTCCAGGCAACCAATTCCAAGATCGATGTCAGTTCCTTTAGTTCGCACAAATTCACCAAATCGTAAACAGCATTCACTTGCTTGTCTTTTTCCTTCCACGTTTTGCGTCCACCATCTGGGATCAAATCAATGGACTGTATGATTGCCTCCCTCCATGGCGCGTATTCCAAAAGTTCGAGTCGGTCGACAATGGTCCAATGAATGACGCATTTCAGCACCGCCGCCGACACAAACATGATGGAAAAACTATCGACAATTGCATGCCAGGGTATTTCTTCCACCGCATTCTCCGGCGATAGTCGCTTGTGGGTGTCCAAAAGGTATTGCGCAATTTCCAAGGGCGCGTCACTCAAACAAGCATAATAAATTGGCAAGTATCCCCAAGTATCATACACAGTCAAATCTTCTGGATAGGTTTCCACCAAGAATTGGTAGAGTTCCATATTACCTTGCTGCTTCTTGGACATGGCCAAGATGTGGAGTGGCGTGAGGCCAAAGGCATCTTGTTGCACACGACAAGGCACACCACCGCCCACAGTTTCCAAAGCATCCATATCCATCATGGCTTCCGAAAGTTCTTGCAAGGTTTCTTCCGTCGATTGGTGGGCCTGGTAGTAACAAATCTTGTGCAAGGGCAAGTCATCAAACCTCGTCTTGAGGGCTTCCACCAAACTATCCTCTTCTGGGAACTTATCCTGGAGTTTGAAACAACATTCAAAGGCATTCTCACCAATCACATTCACAGTATCAGGAATGGCCACATTCCGTAACTCCAAGCACTGGAAGAAGGCTTCCGAATGAATGGCCGTAACTCCATGGGGAATCTCAATCGAAATCATATCCGTACAACAACTGAAGACCTTATCGCCCACTTCTGTCATACTCCTGGGTATTTTCACATTTCGAAAGGAACAAGAGGGAAAGGCAGCTCTCCCTATTCGTTCCAATCCTTCCGGTAAATCCAGAGAATTCATCGCCAGACAGCTCGAAAAGGCCATGTCTCCAATTTCCTTCACGGTGGGCGGTATTTGTGGATCTTTCAGCGCATAACAGTCAAGAAAGGCACGACCCATGATGCGGACCAGACCATGGGGCAATTCAATCGACCTCATTTGTCCACAGCCAGCAAAGGTGTCCCATTCAATGACTCTCACCGAGGGATCCACTCGGACGTTCAAGACATCGTCCGGTATTTGGTCTCGCGTTTGACCCGTGTAAAGATACAAATCAGGGTTCGTAAAGTGGGTGATGGCCCGTCGAAAAAGCAGTTGTTGTTGTTGGAGAAAGGATATCTCTCGGGGAGGAGAGTCTTCCTCCCTGTGGTCTGCCATGATGCTGAAGGTATGTTGTTTTGCTACAGTAGCCTACAGTATAATTATATCTTTTTATAATAATACTCTGTTATAAACCGAAGATGATTTTGTGTTGGAGAGTCAGTCACTGGTACTAATAAGGATCGTCACCACAACCCAAGCAGTCATGGATGTCACTTTTTTGAAGTGATATCAGAAACAATTGTGACGCAATGCTCAATGCACTCACGCAGGAAACGTACCAATACCGGTAGGTCGAAGGGTGATCAAATTACTTGACACTACACACGTGCCATTTTCTCCCTTTAGAAACACGGATCTGGCTAGGACAGCAGTTACTTAATAGTCATGAATATGGCGACTTTCGATTGACACATTGATCCGGCTATCGGGAACCACACACAAAAATGCGAAACGGCGAAACTGCAGGAGCAACCGCCAGACTGACCACTCTTGGATGCTACTCGTCTTGCCGTCATCCTGGGAATTTGGGTCGTCTTGTCATCCTCCCGAGAATTTGTATCAGAACATGACCAACACGATATCTTGGATTTGTCAATAGCGGCACGTCGAGGGTTTTTATGTTCGACATCTGGCCTTACGGTCGGACGTCGACCGGAACGTGACCCTCTGAGCAAGAGTTTCCGCTGTGATGGTTCAGCCCCCGACAGCCATCCATCCATGAATTTGGTCTGACCACATCCAAGTACGGAGAGATTCTTCAAAGGGAGAGCCAGCTCGTCGCAACGGATCTTTTCTCGTCCTTCAGTCTTCCGGGACGTGACCCTCTGTGCCTAATTCTCCCACACAAACTTCGTAACGAGAGCCAATAGCTTTCTGAATGGAAAACTTTGACTTAGGGAAATTCCCTTTCAGATCTCTGAGACGAACACTGATAAAATGTTCTTATCGTATCAATTATGTCGAAAATATCAAAACAATATCCTTCAAGGGAATCTTGGATCTTTGAAAAACATTATGAGTCCAAGTGGAGGGTAAAGAATGGGAGTTTCTTGTCAAAGAATGGAAGTTTCTAGTCAACGAACTAGTCACATTTTTTTTCGAACCACCCGGACTAGTAAAGTTTGTTTTGAGATAAAACTCGACTTATGGTTTTTCTTTGGGCCTCATTTGACCAGTGAAAGGGGTCTATCAACAACGCCACTACATCATGTAAAACGCTTACCTTTGCAGGAGCTCAATTCGAAAAGCAGATCTTTTCTGCGGTTTGAGACAATTAATTTCTCATCAATATCATAGTTTTTGGATTTTTGCCATTTACCCATCACATCTGTCTCTACTCCCACGACCCTAAACGATGGAAGACGCGAAACCCAAAGCCACTACATCACAGGCCGAGGCTTGCGCCAGTGCCGATGATGTTCCACAAGATGTCCGACCATACGACATCCTCTGTGGTCGAAGCAAAACGTGTTTCAACAACATTGGAAACCGTCGCTTTCGAATCACAATCAGTATGAATGTGGAGAAGTATGATACAATTACTAATCGAACCGAACGAGGAAAGTTCATTGCTTCCTTGGCTCGCACATTCAAGGAAGATGTAGGCTTTCGTTTTGTCCGCATCTCCAAGAAGAACGGCCGTGTGGAACTATCCGATGAAGAGATCCGAGCCAAGATCGGACATGCTCTTCGTGACTTGTCCAAGGCAAAAGCTGAAGCAGCTGCGGCTGCTGCCATGCCTGTGGGCATGGAAACCAAGAAGATCATGGAATTGTCTTCCAAACCTCCTCTTCCTAGTACAGCTATGGTGGTTACTCCTGAACCACAAACTCGCCGGGTCACAAATGATTTTGAGACCGACAGCAACGGTAAGCTAATGGCCTTTCCACAAATACCCAACATTCGCAAGAAGAATAGCATCATGGATGCCGCTGGCTTCCCTAAGAATACTACCTCACAACAACAACAACAACAACAAGATGTTCCCAAGGCGATTTTCTTTTCGCCTCAACAACAACAAGAACAAGTTCTGCATCCTGTTCTTGAGGACTCGCCTCTACTAAAGTCCTCCAGGATCCAATCGAGGCAATCAACTATATCGCTTGATCATCAAGACAACAGGCCAGCTACTCTCAAGCAGGCCCCAGTCAGAGAGGAGATTGGAGATGATGACTATTGTCTCATGCCTCTAACCTTCGATGATGAACCCAACGCTCCTGGTTTGTTGGATGCCATCCAATTGGATGTGCTTTCCGGCTTTGCCAGCGAGCAAATGATGCCCAAGGCAAGAACCGTCTCCATGCCCAACATGATCTCCCAATTGACATTTGAGATGTACCATCATGATCATCATCATCATCATAATGAGGATGCGAGTATTGCTAGTGTTCGTTACAACGACGATGAGGCTATTGTCGAGGCCAAACACGGCAATGGAGGATTTATTCGCAAGATGCACCAACAATCCAATCATTCTGCCGATCTCATGTCATTGGGATCAAATGATGACCACATGATCAGTTTGTGCGAATCTGTCGATTGCTTGTCGTTAGATTTGGACATTCATCCTTGAAATTGAACATTTCATGGATGACTGATAGGTTCAAGACACCTAGGAACTACAACCAAGATCCTATCCTAGTTGATCATGGAAACAACGACAAGAGAAACAAAAACAAAAACGCCTGGTCAACGTTTGACCAATTTTGCTTTGTTTGTCCCCTTGATTGAAGTTTCCCACGACCTCAATCATGGTTGATTGCAGGAGGACCAAATACATACATAATCTCAAGGACGAATTCTCGGATGAAAAAATTGACCAATGCAGTGATTCTCAACATCCCAAGCTTGCCAATGTGTGGCTCACGGCTTTTGCAAGCTGGCCAGCGAATGGAATGATCGAAGCGTCAGATCTGCTGCAAGAGACAAGAAAACCGCCTTGGTAATAGGTGTTGCATGCTTAGTGTATAATATACATATATGAATAGAATTGATGATATTTCATATCCGCAAAAACAGGATTCCTGGGTGAATGAGTATTTATAGAATTGTTGCATTTTAAAAAGATACCGTATCAGAGGTAGCCATCGACTAGCTATTGCTGCCTCCCGTCAAATCCAATTCTGCAAGCTTTTCCACTTCCGTTTCTGTGGCAAACTCTGTCTCGTACTGTAAGATCCACAGAATTTGCCACCAGGGTACTTGGCATTATCTAGTTTTGAAAAACTTGCTACCAAGTGAATCGTAAGAGCGCCTCCTCCGATCAATCACAACGAAGGCACTTGTTTAGCGCCATTGTTTTAGCGCCCTGTCATCAAATTCGACTCCCATTTTGGCTCCACATTTTACAAATTTAGGACATATTTACAAATTTAGTGCACCATGACGGCCAACGGTTGGAAAACACGTTTGTTCTATAACCAGTGAGAGATGAAACCATTCATCATGTTCAAGCACCTCTGACGATAGCTTCGATACTATTAAAAAATGCAACCAAGATGATCATCAATCATTTTCTATTATTGCTATAGTCGTGGTGAAAAGTGCAATATTTTCAGTATTTATCATCGTTGGAGCTGCTCCCATTGCAATGTGTTCCAAAGTGATGCTAGTATTCAAGGTGGAGGTTCGATGGTCAAAGGCTGACCCATCTCTTTCGTACTCCTCAAATACATTATAAGTACTAAACATCCTTTTAGTCGTCGTTGACCAAGGAAATGTTTTCCATCGTGGTATCGGAGAGCCAAGCAGACGACGATGGTCGACTTATAGAAGTATCGCAGCAGTAGCTACCAACGGACATGGGACTAGTAGCTGGAGCCAGTGCCGAGTGTTCGTTTTGTAGGAGCTCGTCCGAGGTTGTCCAAAAATCATCCAGTTCATCTTCTTCGTCTACTAGCGAAGGGATCAAATACATGGGAGGTGGATTCAATAGGCTCTGTTGACATGCATCCAATAGGCTATGTTGAGTCGTATATCCTTCTCCAATATGATCCAAGAGTGGATGATACGGGAGTTTCCCCCTTTCTTGGTCGGTGTCTGGTGATACTGTCATAAAGTTGTTGTCTAGAAGTAGATTTGATTGCAACGGCGTGGTTTCTTGTTCCGCCTGAGGAAGCTTGGACAACATGAGGTGCACAGGAGGACTGGGGGAGCAAATCTGATCGAGAGCACCAGCACCGGCCTTTTGGGCATTCAAAGTGACTGGTTGTTCTTCAATCGTGGCCACACTGCTGGGAGCGGAGGATACTCTAATTTGAGCCGATGAAGCAGTTACTGGTGCGGGACATGGAGTGGACATGCTAGCTGTTGTTGGCTTGCTACCATCCAAGGTGGATTGCGCCGATGACATTGTAGACGCGGATGATAGTGTCACCAAAGAGGCAGAGGAAGAAACCATCCTGAGTGCCTTCTTGTCTTGCTTCTGGTATGGACCAGGTCTTAGAACCTTGGATTCAGGTGTAGTAGTACGACCACTGCCATCTTCCTTCGTATTAGACGAAAGATCTCTCAACGCGTGTCCAATCTTGGCTCGAATCTCATAATTCGTGAGTTCCACCGTTTGTGCATTCTTCGCTCCTCCCTCCTTGCGCTTGAGAAAGCGAAAACCAACTTCGTACCTCATGGTCTGAGCAAGACTCGCAATAAATTTGCTTCGTTCATGACGAGAACGCATGGCATTGTACTTTTCCACATTCATGCTGATGGTAATGCGAAATCTACGGTTTCCAATGTTGTTGAAGGAATTGCGGTTCCTACCGCATAGAACGTCGTATGGTCGAGGATTGTCAAAGGACTTCAAATTGGATGAAGAGTGGTCCATCATGATTGTTTATTTGTATGTTTGCTTGCTTGTTTGTTTGCTTGTGTAAATTGATTTGCTTCTACCAGACGCGTTCTTGTCAAGAAACTTTTTTTGCGTTGGTTTATTTTTGGAGAGCCATCGCAGTCGTCTTTGGTTTCTGTTTTCGGCAATAGACGAGATTCACTCCTCTAACATATATTTGACTACTTAAGGGTGGCCGAATGACTGAGTTTCTACTTGCCACCAATATGTTTTCTACTTAGTTACCTTCCAGTTGAATCAATCACTAGTCCGATATATGTTAGAAAATTGCGATTTGTTTCGAATTTTGACGCGTGGCCAAACTCTAAGAAATAAAACGAAATGCATTTAACGTCCCCATACACGCGTACCTGAACATTTGTTTGTTCGAGAATGTTGTTTTCACGCCATATTTACCGAAAAGTCGAAAATATTGTACTGTACTCCAACATGTTTTATGGTCCAAAAACTAATATAAAAAAAGCTGAAGCATCCACTGGTTCATTCTAAAGTACCAGCGCTGTAAAAGGTAATCAAAAGACCACAATTTGAATATACATGACAATAAGACATGCCAATGTGTTACTGTACTACAATTATAGTAGTAATTAGTTTAAAATGGTGAAAGACGCCGTTGCCCCTTTGTTGGGATGATCAGTCCAGTGCCATCATCGCGATACTGCATGCACCACCGAGTATTGCAATAAAAATTATTATTATTGACAACAACGGCTGTTCACATGTCTGACGGATATCGCTTGCTCCCCATATTTGAGCAGGGTGATGGATCACATGACACTGATATTCCAAGCGAGGCTTCCGCTTTGCCTTTCAATCCTTTGGAAATAGTAATCTCCAATCGATGATCTTGTTCTTGAAGTAGGTACGCCAATCCCTAATCCTAAAGGGACCACTTATCTGGGATCTTGCTGATCAGGACGCGCTTACGAGCCTCGACCTGCCCATCCCACCCCCGTCGTCGCACCCAAATGATTCGTTTTAGGTGGCCAAACAAGACTGGAGGGAAACACGCAATCGCAGCAAGCCATGAAATCTTCTGGTTTCGCGTCGCCGATGCAACCTAGTGAGTGACCAATCCACTAGAAACCACAAAGGCAAACACTAGCCTTCCGAAGGATCCCTCGGAAATGTGACAATAAAATATACGCGAAAGTGTAGACTCGCCAAAATGTCCTAAAAGAGAAAAGAAAAAAAAGTGAGATCATGGTTCAGAAAGTAAATGCAATTGATGGGGTGAATTTCCAGGTAAAACTCTTTGATGGGTTGTTCGTGTGTTGTCGCACACTATTATCATACTTCATCTCTTTCAAAGTCGTAGCAAGAATGTGCTTTAATTGGCACCTTTTCCTCGATTTACCACGCGGCGACTGTATCGTCGTCCTTTTTCCGTCATGCCAGATCCCAAAGCTTCAGTAGAAGGATCCTTCTTATCTGGCGAAAGCTTGAGCTGTAGCCGTCGGCTGTAGCGCTTTCCGGATTCGGTCCATCCAGATCCCATTCCATCAGAAGGAATATCATTCGTAGCTGCGTTGTCAGATTGCTCAGTTGGTGCTGCAAAAATCTCGCCATCGCTACCATCCTGCTCCAAAGAATCGAAGTCGTCATTAATCAATCCAGCATCAAAAGGCGACTCGTCCATGGTACTCAAGTCTTCTCCCTCTGGATCTTCGATAATGACAAGAAGGGAAGTTTTGGATTCCTTCTTCTCGTTCACGTCATCGACTTCTTCTTCCTCCTGCTTTGGATCTTCGATAATGACAAGAAGGGTTGGTTCAAAATCGATCTTCTTTTCAGACATTTTCTCATTCTGGCCCTTGCTTCTTCTGGCTCTTGCCTTGTTTGCCCACTTGGCTCTCTCGGTCTTGGTCTTCTTGTTCAAATTCGCCTTCTCGGCCACGATCTCCTCGGCCTTCTTGACCCAAATAGCGCCAGCTTTGGCAAGATGAGTCGATCGTTCCTTGGCGATGTCATCGTTGAATCCAGCATCCAACGACGAGTCAATGTCGCTCTCGTCGCCGCCTTCTTCTGGATCTTCGATTAGGACAGGCAGCAAAGGAGTGAAGAGTTCGTTGGTTCGTTTGGCCCATGTTGCAGCGCAAGTTGGAACTGTAGATGATGAATTCATTTTGCGACACTTGGTGGGTCTGGATGAAATAAGGCAGGAAGTTGCGGTTCGCTTGAGTGACAATGGTGCTTGTTCTTCCATGCAGGGCTCGTCGTCGTTGTTGTCGTCGTCATCCAAATCCATTGGTACTGGAATATTGGAGAGCATGTCCTGAAGGACCGTTGGAAGCATTTGTCGGTGGTCCTCGAGCGCAATTGCAATGGTTTCAGAGTCGATTTTGCCATCAATAAATCCAGTATCCAAAGACGAGTCAATGTCACTCGAATCTTCTTCTGCTGGATCTTCGATAATGGTGGCAAGCACCGTAGGTTTGAAATCGATCATCAAGCGTCGGGCATTCCGTCTCTTGATCTTGCGGTCAATTTGACGAATTAGCTGCCTTCGGGACTGAAGATCTTGCTCGTCGGGAATGAAGTTTCTCCTTCGAGTCTTAGGGGCGAATTGGACTCGGCTTGAAGAGGTTGGTTTGGGTGATCCCCAATCTTGTCTTGAAGGACGAAGAATGGACACAGGAGTATGCGGAACGAATCTCACTGTGTTCTCTATCTCTGGAATTACTTCGTCGTGAAGTTGAATGCGCCATTGAATCAGACCCCAACATTCCCTGCGAGATTGTAGTTCTTGGTTGTTTGGGGCAAAGGTTCGACGAAAGATTTTGGCGAAACGGACACGGTTGGGTTTTCTGGTGAACACACCCAACCAACTTCGTTTTTTCTTGCGAGACCCGCCTTCTGGACGACGAAGGATGGAAACAGGAGGCTGTCGTCTCTTCCATTGCCTGCAAAGTCTCTGATAGGTTCGGTAAGTGTCGAGTACCATGTACCGAAGTAACACGATTGCGACTGCACAAACCAAACCGGTAATGATGGTTTCTTGAACTGGTTGTTGTTGTTGTTGTTGTTGTTGTTGAGTGATGGCACTCATTCGAGGTAACTTGGGAAAGCTGATGCTTTTGAAGCTTTCTTGATTGACAAAGGTAGTGATGTAGTTGGTCATGATTGTTGTTGTTGTTGTATTAGTTGATTCAAAGAGGTTCATAATGGAAATTGTGAGGTGTTGCGTTGAGGTGTGGAGTGAAAACCGCTACGGGTGGGAGATCGCCAATTTGCCGTGTTTTTAACACGATTGACTCCTTCGAATCCTCGTTTGGTGGTCTCGGTGGATGATGCGGTGTTTTGTAGGATGGATTGTTTTCATGTCATAATAGATTCAGGACGCTGATTGTAGAGTGTTGGAAGGTTAGACCATTGTCGATCAAATTTATGCCAGTGGATAAGAAGGGTCGTTGATGGGTCGGTCGGATCGTTGTCAGACGTACGAGTATTTTCGAATTTGTATCTACGATACAGCAGTCGGACGTGTGCACATGGTATGGTGTGCGCGCTCGAGAATTCAAAATCTGCATATTTCCACGCAGCGTTTGTACACGTACGCGTACTGTGTACCGGCCAAGCTTGGGAAATCTTGCTTCCAGCCGACGATTGATTTTATCATACTGTATTACTGTAGTGTACGGTATTCAGTATGATGATTGAATTATTGATCCACCTCGATCTTTCGCCATCACACGATCGAATGAGTGACATGTTTCGACAACGATCAACACGACAATCATCATTTCCTACTCTACAAGGATCCTTGGAGGATCCTTGTCAGCTCATAAATCAAACACAGCTACTATGTCACAGCCCTCTTTCATCAATATCCTCTTGATCATCTTGCTTTTGGGACACTCCAGTATCAAGGCCATCTAAATGCTTCCAAGAATTTGGCTCTTTGTTTGCTTCTACATCTGAAGAGACTGAAGATGCTCTTGCTTCCGTATATCTATCTAAACTACGAGTTTCTGAAATTAAGCAAGAACTGGAAGCCTTGAAGGTGGATTATACCGACTGCTTTGACAAGGAAAGCATGGTAGCCCGGCTGCTGGAACCGCGGAATAAGAAGGATGAAACATGTGGGTGACGCTGAAGAGCCATCCTCTTCAACAGCATCGTCTTCTGCCGATTGTCCTTCCTCCGATGAGCGTTCAAAATCGCACTGAATTGGACGAGGAAGCCGAGCTGGGAAAAATTCAATCCATGAGGGTGAAGGAATGGCGAGAAGAGTTGGGGCACCGACGCATTCCATAGGCTGGATTGTTTGACAAGGAAGATTTGGTCCAAGCGCTGTGGAAGGCCAAGCAACTTGATGCAGTCTTTTCAACGACGGGCAATATCTTGCAAGGATGAGTAGCCGACTTGAGTGAAGACGATGTCGAAAAAGAAAACTGCAGCACACTGCTGCGCCGATGTTACTAGATGTATATGCCACTTGGTACGGACCATGACAAATGATCGCACCTTTACTTGGGCAGGCTGCCCAAGAGTCCTTCAGTGGCTGTAGCGACGGCGACGTATCAAAACCACTGGTGCGGGTTGCCAAAATGGATAGCGATGCCAACCCACAAATGGCCTCCAACCTCAAGGTGGCTCGATTGCCAGTCTTGGTCTTATTCCAGCATGGGGAAGAAATAGATCTAGTATGTTTGCAAATTGCGTTTCCCCCCGTACACTTGTTCAACAAACGGGTATCAACCGCCACAAAGCGGGTGTAAACGGTTTTTTTTGGTACCCGATGTATAATACCGGTATACATATGAGTAGAATTTATGATACTTCCTATCCACAAAAACACGAGTGTACCTATAGAATTTTGCATTTACTAGCTATTGAGGAGGACAAGCTAGCTATTAGTGGCTGTTGCCTGCTCTCGTCAAATCCATTCTGAAAGCTTTGCAACTTCCATTTCTGTGACAAATCTCAAGCGATCCTGTTTCGTAAGATCCACAGAATTTGCCACCGGAGTACTTGGCATAATCTAGTTTTGAAAACTTGCTGCCAAGTGAATCTTTCTAGTAAAAGCGGATATTTTAGCACCTCCTCCGAGCAATCACAACAAAGGCACTTGTTTAGTGCCTTTCATAAATTGCGCCTGTTCTTCCTTCCTGCCATTTTCAAGATTGGGCCCTCCACATTTTACAAATTTGGGACACATTTACAAATTTAGTTCACCATGACGGCCAACGGTAGAAAGCACGTTCGTTCTATAACCAGTGAGAGAGATTGTAACCATCCATCATCTACAAGCACCTTTGATAGCTTCGATAATATTTTAAAAAATACAATCAAGATGATCTAGGACTAGACTAATTTGCTATACTATTATTACTACCGGTATAGTCGTGAGTGCAAGTCTATTCAGGAGTTAGAAGGAGGAGAGAAGGTGGAATGGTCAAAGGCTGACCAATCCAAACTGTACATTCGTCCATTTCTTTCGTACTCTCCAGTAAGTAAACATCTTTTCAGTTGTTGTTGACCAAGGAAAGGTTTTCCATCATGGTATCGGAGAGACAAGCAGACGATGGCAGACTTATAGTATCGCAGCAGTAGCTGCCAACGGACATGGACCTGTTGCTCCTAGTATTGGTAGGAGCCAGAGCCGAGTGCTCGTTTTGTAGGAGCTCCGAGGTTCTCCAAAAATCATCCAGCTCATCTTCTTCGTCTAGCGAAGGGATCAAATACATGGGAGGTGGATTCAATAGGCTCTGTTGACATGCATCCAAGAGGCTCATCTGTTGACACCCTTGTTCTCCAACAATATGATCCAAGAATGGATGATAGGGGAATTTCCCTTTTTCTTGCTCGGCTTCTGGTGAAACTGTCTTGAAATTGTCCACAACTGGATTTGATTGCAATGGAGTGGTTTCTTGTTCCGCAAGAGGAAGCTTGGACAACATGAGTTGCACAGGAGGACTGGAAGAGCGAACTTGATCGGGAGCAGCACCGGCCTTTTCGGCATTCTCCAAAGTGACTTGTCCTTGAATGGTGGCCACGATGGGAGCGGAGGATACTTTAATTTGAGCCGATGAAGCAGTTACTGGTGCGGGACATGGAGTGGGCATGCTAGCTGTTGGCTTGGTACCATCCAAGGTAGATTGTGCCGATGACATCGTAGACGCGGATGACATTGTCACCAAAGAGGCAGAGGAAGAAACCATCCTGAGTGCCTTCTTGTCTTGCTTCTTGTAGGGACCAGGTCTTGGAACCTTGGATTCAGGTGTAGTAGTACGACCATTGCCTTCTTCCTTCATGGTGGATGACAGATCTCTCAACGCGTGTCCAATCTTGGCTCGAATCTCATCATCCGTAAGTTCCACCGTTTGTGCATTCTTCGCTCCTCCCTTGCGCTTGAGAAAGCGAAAGCCCACTTCGTACCTCATAGTCTGAGCGAGACTCGTAATAAACTTGCTTCGTTCGTGACGAGAACGCATGCCATTGTACTTTTCCACATTCATGCTGATGGTAATGCGAAATCTACGGTTTCCAATGTTGTTGAAGGAATTGCGGTTCCTACCGCATAGAACGTCGTATGGTCGAGGATTGTCAAAGGACTTGAAATTGTCCATCTTGTTAGTTAGTTGTGGATTGATATTAGAATGGCTGTCAAGGATCACTGATCAATGCTCCAACCAGACGCGATCTGGTCAAGATAAAAACTTTTTTTGCGTTGATGTTGTTTTTTGAGCCATTGCATGCAGTCATCAGTCGTCTTTGGTTTTGTGTTTTTGGCCATGGGCGCGATTCACCCCCCTAACATATATGTGGCTACTTAAAGGGGACCGAATGACGAAAGCTTCTATTCGCCGCCATTACATTTTCTACTTAGTCGCTTCGGTTTGAATCACTAGTCAAATAAATGTTAGAAATTGTTAAGCTTTTCTTCTTCGACTGCCGGATAGATCTACATAACGTAGACAAACGTTAACGAAATTTCATTCCAAATGTCCATTAACGCGAACGGATTCTAACGTTTCGCCAAAACATCACGCCAGTGGTGCGGATATCAAAGTCTAGTTATTGATTCGCCGCAGGCAACTCAAGTCACATAAGGTATCCGGGAACTATTCGTGATGACATTCATTGGATACCGGCAGCACATAATTGGTTTGTCTTGCCTCTGGCATCAAGCGAGTACCGGGTAGAGAGACACCTGGCAACAGTCGTATTCATCTTGAGCTCCCAGAGAAGACTTATTTTAAGACTACCAGGGCACCTGGTACCTGGTAGTAGTACGGTTTTATGATGCCACTAAGGTGAAAGGCGAAATAGGTAGTAGTGCTGTCCTCTATGCATTGCACTTTGTGGAGCAAATTGTGACGTTAAATTATCATGGAAGATAGTGCTGTTATTCGATCCTTGCCAATAATACCAGGTACTGTAGGTATGACTACCGTAGCGCCCAGATTCGTCATCCGTAATCTTACGTCATTCTTTTGTTGAAACGCTTGTCGTTGACCACAGTAGTAAACTACCGGTACTAAAATTCAAACCTAAAATCTCCTATTCTATAGCCCTGTAGTAGTAGCCCAAGAAAGAACAGCAAGAAGGTCCCAGCCCAGCAGAGAAGGCAAAAGTGTTTCTTATCTGGTGAGACTACCAGGCAGGTACTACAAGGTAGCTGTAGGTATCAGGTACTATCAGGTATCGTCGTATTGCCGGGAAGAATGCGGAGACGGGGGCGAAATCGCTAGGTGGTCGTTGCCGTCAACAATTACAGATTTCCAAATTGTGTTGGATTTGGGAGAGAGGTCCTGTGAGATCTTTACTACGGGCGGTTGTAGAACTACTGCTGTAGTAGTAGGCAGCTCAGATTCGTCATCAACCATGATACGTAGTATGCAGAATAATGTTATCATCATGATCGTGTCTGTAAACTACTAGATATAAAAAACGTGAAACAAGACTAACCATCATAATCGATGCCGCCACCACAAAAACAAGGCAAACAAAAAATCTTTTCTAAAGTCGTGGTACCGACCGCAGTAGCCTAAGGTACAACAACAACGATTATTATCCTCATTTGGATTGAAGAAAAGTTGTGTTCGATCTTTAATGACGAATGGAATCGTCGTTATCATGCATCATCATGTCGCTGAGAAACTAGCTAGATACTATTAATAGTAGTACTAGTAGTAAAATCCAAACCAAAAATCTTTAAAACAATAACAAGAATCAATCCTCATTCGAAACCCTCATCATTCGCAATCTCATCCGCCAACCCATTCATTGATCATCACTAGTTGAACGCGGTGGCTCATACTGTAGTTTTATGGATCGTTTCCAAGTTCGAACCTACGGTAACATTCCCGCCTCTACCGATTTCGACACCGCCGGTTGTGGTGAGCGGTCGTGATAATTGAATAGCGCACGAGCCGCGTTTGGCCTCCGTCAAGCGTCCGGCGTGTGTAGGTAAGTCCGTCTGCCCATCATCCACATCCTTCTGACCAGGCTGCTGCATCTCGCTCAAGACTGCATCCATCCCAGTCTGATCATCATCCGTGACAACTGTATCAATCACCATCGATCTTTTTTCATTCTTGTTCCTTTTTTCGAGAAATAAGCAAACGTGCTTCCTCAAAAAACTTCACATCCGATTGATCGATTCATTCATTCATTCATTCATTTCAACAGCTGTCTCAGCTACCCACGTTTGTCTCATAAATTCATCTTTGCAACAATCTGCACAGATCAAAGAATACCTTATAGAGACTACAACAAGCAGTTACAAAAGCTAAGGAAACATACTACAATACTACAAACAAACAAAAAAGAACGAACACCTTTCATTTTGACAGACCAAGAAGAACAAAACTATCATGGCTACTCGTTGCTCATTTGAAAACTCTCACGAAGTCGGTGTCTTTGCCGCTTTGACAAATTCCTATTGCCTTGCCGGAATTGGTGGCAATGAAAACTTTTATTCCGTCCTCGAGGCCGAATTGCGAGAACACATTCCCGTCTTGCACGCCACCATTGGGGGAAATCGATTTGTGGGACGTACCACCGTCGGCAACGTTCGCGGATTGCTGGTACCCAACACGGCGACGGATCAAGAATTGACGCACTTGCGAAACTCGCTGCCGGACAAGGTTGTGGTCCAACGAGTGGAAGAACGTTTCAGTGCTCTTGGGAATGTGATTTCGACCAACGACCACGTGGCGTTGATTCATCCAGATACGGATAGGGAGACGGAAGAAATTATCAGTGACGTCCTTGGTGTGGAAGTCTTTCGACAAACTGTAGGGGGGCAAGCACTCGTTGGTTCCTATGCCAAGTTTACCAATCAAGGTGGTATGGTCCATCCACGTACCACGGTTCAAGATATGGAAGAATTGTCAAGTCTCTTGCAGGTCCCTCTTGTGGCTGGAACTGTCAACCGTGGTTCCGATGTCTTGGGAGGAGGTATGGTCGTCAATGATTGGTCTGCTTTCTGTGGTATGGACACTACAGGTACCGAGATTAGCGTGATTGAATCAATATTCCGATTGCAACGGCAGCAAAATGGTGGTGCCGAACCTATGGATATTGTCACGGATATGCGATCGTCGCTTATTGATCAATTGAGTTAATATAAAAATAAAACTACAATGAATTTTTTTTCAGAAACAACCATAGTGCTATAGAAATTGTATCAGCTATTGCTCCTGTTGTTGCTATGATAGGAGCCAGTGTGCATCGTGGTCTAGACGCGATTCTGAACAGGAAGATGTTGATTCTTCGTTGTCTTCAAAATAAAAACAAACGATACTTGTCGGTGATCATATGATTTGCATGAATGGTTCTCAATGCAGCAGGCGAGATATTAATACTACGATCATGGTACAGTAGTGAGTTTCCCTTATTGTTCATTTTAGAGTTCAGAGTTTAGAATCTATTAAAATACTAATCCTACTATTCACAATTCAGGCCAGTCTCGGAAGCGGTATCGGTGATTGCAGTACCCAGAAGGATTCTTCTCCAAGTATTCTTGATGTTCCTCATGTGCTGGATAAAAGTCTGTATAAGACACAATTCCAGTCTTGATGGTCTTTTCACTGTAGGAAGTCACCTTGCCTCCATCCATGAGTGTTTGAAGTTCTTCCTTGACCTTGGTGGCAATCTTGACTTGGTCCTCATCGGAACAGAAGATGACAGAGGCATATTGGGTTCCGGCATCATTTCCTTGACGGTTCAAAGTGGTTGGATCATGAAAGGTGAAAAAGAATCGAATCAAATCTTCAAACAAGGCTGGATCGTTCAGTTCTACATTCAAGACTTCCACGTGCCCCGTCGAACCGGAACAAACTTGACGATAGGAAGGATTCTTCATGGCATCCTGGTCGGGACTCATAAAGCCAACCTTGGCGTCTTTGATGCATCCAGGATGTTTCTTTTGAAAGTCCTTGACAATGTATTTTTCGGTACCCCAGTAACAGCCGGCACCGAGGGCAAGTGTAGACGCAATGGGAGCCATGATGATTTTTGTTTTGCTTGTATTTCTATTTGGTTGGTTGGTTGGTTGGTTGGTTGGTTGGTTTGAATTATTTATGAGACCCGACGTGTGTGACTCGATGAAAGACTTTGTATTGGCCTGAGAAGGATTGGATGTCTTCTTTGTTGTTGATGATGATGATGATGATGACAATCAATGTGGATGCAATCTTGCTTGGGAAGGGAATGACGAAACAAATCGTGCGGGACCGAATGACTTCGAAAAAGAAGAAGTCCGATGAGTCAGTATTTGTCGATTGATGGATTCGAGTCAATTGATTGATTCATTCGACCATTACTTACTCCATCCAACGTTCCATCATCGATAGTCGATCTGAAGTCGTATTCCTCTGCCTACACCAGTATAATAAAGCGCAATAACGATACCACAACCCATATGCCACAATTTGCCCTTTTTGAGTGATTATCATTATTATTTTAATAAAATATTTATATTTAGAATGTTTGATGTATCATGGGGAGAGCTTCTTGTATTGGGATCTGTTGGGGCAGCACTTGCCGGTCGACGTGATCTTCCCAGTGCGTGTCGCTTTGCGGGCATGCAGGTCGGTCGAGTGGTGGGATTGCTGCAAGGGGCACGAGCACGTGCGGATCAGTTCAGCACGCAGAATGAATTGAGGCAATTGCAAAACGAATTGAGGAGCGGACTCCGGGAATTGGATCAAGTCAAGACGGAGCTAGTCGTTGCTGCCAGCATGGGCCGAACGCTTGGGGCCACGACACCCTCGGCCAATCGACTGGTTTCGAACAAAAGCAGCAACAACAACAACAACAACAACAACACGAATAACAATACCAATCGAACACCGTACCGAACTAAGATTCAATCATCGACAATCACAGCACCCCAGGTTGGAAACGTTTCTGTTTCTACAGCAAGTAAATCACGACAGACTCCTCCACAACCAACAATAAGCACTGCCGATGCCATGATGGAGAGTCTGTCGCTATCTCCGTCCAGCATTATTCAAAGCGAACGAGCATCCATGGAAGAAGAATGGGAAAAACAAGGTATCTCGTTTCGATCCGCAGCGGAACAAGGCAGCTGGATGAATACTGGTAATGTAACAGCTTCCAGTAGTAGTAGTACTGCCAACACTGGAAGTGAAATATTGGAAAATCTGATGCACCAAAATCTAGTATTCGATCAATACAATCGGGTGGTTGCAAACCAAGAACACGAAATGCAACAAAGGATTGAACAGATCAAGGCAAAGGGTCGTAATCATCGTACCGATGAGAAGAAGTAATGAATGGTACTGGAAAAGAAAAGTAACCTTCAGCCTTTTTCAAAGAAACCATACTTGCTGCACACATTTATTTGAAGCTGCATGCATGTCTAACGTATCCTACGCTAAAAGGGGGACTTTCGTTTCAATCGAGCTAAGACAGGCCTACTACATGATTATACAATCTCTACAATAAAGCAAAGCACCAACCTTGTTTGTGTGGGTGTTTGTGCTGTATATTGTTTCTATTATCTTTCTTATAATTACTATACATTCATCCATCAGAGATTGGTTGTTTTTGAAACCAGCTTGTTGCTTGCTGTGATCATACAAACATGATGCTATCATATGTGAATCATCCATTATGTGTATCATCCCAATCATATTTGACTGGTAATCGTGGACACAACAGTCGTTCTTGGGGAAGAGCATTCAACGGACCCTTCTTTCTTTACACCGGATTCATCCACATCGTCTCGATTCGCGTCGTCTCCACTTTCATCTTCCTCGTCGTCTTCCTCACTGTTTCGTGCCAGCGAGACAGTCAATAAGAATTCTCTCAATTTGTTGATGCTCTCTTCCGCTTCTTCATTCTTGGATAACCCTAAAGCACTAAAGAGCCTGAGCTCCAAATACTTGGGCATCTTTTCCGCCTTGCGCACGGAGGTAATGGCATTGTACAGGGCCGCCAACACCAACATGCTGGCCTTTTCGGTAACAAAGATTTCTTCAAACATCATGTGACTCATTTGCATCCGAAAGATTCCAATGATTTCATCTTTGCGGATAAGGTCGCTTGAAATGATGGAAAAGAGTTCGCGGGAAAAGGCCGTGGGCGTGGGTGGATTGACCCTCCATCCCACCGCCTTGAGAATTTCGAGCTCTTCCTGTTCGATCCGTGCAATGGGATGAGTGTCCGTACTCAAATCGTTGACGTGATGGGGCGTCAAACAACACTGTTCGTGCATTTTGGCCGCCACATACAAACTGGTCAAGGCGGCAAACTTGTAATTCTTGGAGTGGGTCATCAATTCGGGTTTGGCGGCCACGTATCGATCCAAAATGGACATGGTGACTTCCATGGTTTCGGGTTGGTATTGAAAGGAACCCATAATCTTTTGGAACCAATCGACCATGGTGTATCGCCATGTGGCGTATTCTTCCACGACATGGTCGGGAAATTCATCAGGAATGTAGTTGGACTCTATTCGATACGCTTCCTCTTGTTTCAAGAGACCCTTCAGTCGATCGAGAGACAAGAATCTGGACTCTGTGGTGGTGGAGAGTGGTCTCTTTCCTACTACTCCTGTGCTACTAGCATTCGAACTAGCATTCGCACTCGCAGTCGTCATGATTGTAGCGTAAAATTGGGTTTTTATAAGATTGATTGGGACACTTATCCTTCTGATTTTGGTACCGTTTTGCACTTGTATGTTGTGTGGCACACTTACTCGTAACGAGTACCGGGTACCAGTGATAGATGCCGTTCGGAGTGCGGAACGAATTTCAGCGGGATTGCAAGGGAGGAGTTTTTTTGGAACGGCTCAACTGATAAAATATTTGGCGAACACAAGGTATTGTGACATGAATACATAGGCACCGGCCTATTTTTACATATGACCTCCGACACGAGCCAGCATCACTGGCCCAAAGGTCATCGTATGTATCGTTCGGAAGTAAAGAAGTCCCTTGAAGTTTTCCGCTCAAGTGGTCGAACAGTTCAACTTTGATGGTCGAGCAGGTCCAATTATGGATGTCACCAAAACACGTCGTCACCCAAAAAAACGAGTACGTTCTCCTCGTGGTGCGCAGTAATTGGCAGAAAAGCGAAGAATCACGAATCTCCCAACCTATCAAAATCAAAAAAATATTTCAGCAACGGTCATCAATCACTCAAAACTTACACCAGATTTTTTTCATCAATCCACTTCAACGAATCAATATCAATTCATAATCAATATCAATTATTATTATTATCAGCAGCAGCAATAACATGGCAGGAACTGCACCAAACAGTCCCACCAGACAACCACGAACGGTAGACAATCCATTGCCACATGTCCTTCCTGAAGGTCAGAATGCCGCTCCTTTGGAAGTGATGGGATCCACCGCCTCCGATAAAGTCGTGGTGATCATGGTCGGTCTACCGGCGACGGGAAAGACGCACATTGCCAAGCGCATTTGTCGATTTTTGTCTTTTTTCCATGACATTCCCGCTCAAATTTTCAACGTGGGAGATTACCGACGCAAGTTGTGTGGTACCCAAATGCCAGCGGAATTTTACAATCCGGACAATCCAGAGGGCCTCAAGGCCAGAATGATGGCCTGTGATGCGGCTTTGGCGGATCTTGTGGAGGTAAGAAAACTATTTTCGTTGTTGTTTTTGTTGTTGTTATTGTATGTTAGATTATACAAAAGGTATCTCGAGTTGTTGCTGTGCTTGTTGTTGTGGTTGTTGTCCTGAGAATGAATGAAGGGAAGAACGAACCAACGTTTGTTACAATAATCAGTCATCCGAAACGATGATTGTGATGATGTGATGGATGATTCCTTAATTCATTCATTCCACATGACACACAACAACAACAACAACAACAACAACATATCGAATACCAAACAAACAAGCATTTATGATAGGCTGAAGCATAGTCCTGATATATTCGGACAGTGGTGCTTTGGTAGAAAAACTTATGCGACATGACATTCACACGAAAAAGTGTGCTCCACAAGTGGGGAAGAGCCTGTTTTAATCCTACGATGCAATTTGTTTCTCATCTTTGTTCTTCGCTTGGATGGCTTTTACATTTCCTTGACAACCAATAAAAAAATAACAGTATATCAAACAAGATGGAGTCCGAGTGGCCGCCTTTGATGCCACCAATACCACCTTTCAACGTCGGCAACATATCATCAAGGTCTTGAATCAGCAAGGCATACGGTCCAAAAAGATTTTCATTGAATCCATTTGCGATTCCAGCACCATTCTTGACGACAATATCCGCAACGTCAAGCTCAATACTCCCGACTACCGGGATGTCGACCCCGAAGAGGCAGTCGATGATTTCAAACTGAGAAGGGCCAATTACGAAAAGGTCTACGAACCCCTTTCGGAACGAGATGGTTCTTACATCAAGATTATCAACTCGAAGCAATACATTGTCAATGCCATTCGAGGATACCTTCCACTGAAAGTGAGTTAGTGTTTCGTGATGCACACTTTCTTTTATTTGATTTCTTTTTGGCAATAGTAGGAGTGAACTCACCTCGTTCTCGTTTTTGCATTATTCTTTAGATTGTTCATTTTGTCATGAACTTGCATACCCTGGGACGAACCTTTTACTTGACGCGTCACGGGCAATCTGAATACAACTTGCTCGGCAAGATTGGTGGGGATTCTGGATTGACTCCCGCTGGAACCGAATATGCTCGTCGGTTGGCACAATTCGCCAAGGAACAGATCATCCACAAGGATGGCGTCGAACGTCCTTGTCGGTTATGGACTTCAACTCTGAGGAGAACCAAACAAACGGCACAATTCATTGAACACAACAAATTCGAACATATGTGGGATAATGGAGAAAAGTTTGAATGGATTCAACTGCGTCGTCAAGAGAGACGAAACCTGGATGAATTGTACGCGGGAACGTGTGATGGTATGACGTACAAGGAGATTGAAGAAGTATTTCCGGAAGAATTTGCCAGACGACAAGATGATAAATTGGCCTACCGATATCCTCGAGGTACGTTGATTGTTGGTCAGATGATTGACTTGACTTGACACATGGACTGACACGATTCTTTTTCCCTTCTTTTTTCAGGTGAATCGTATATGGATGTGACGCTTAGACTGGAACCATTGGCACAAGAGATGGAACGTACCAGGGAACCAGTACTGGTTGTTGGTCATCAGGGAATTCTGCGCATTCTTTATGCGTACTTTATGGGTCTGGACCGAAAAGAAGCCCCCTATGTCTCGATTCCACTCAACAATGTCATTGAACTTACTCCACACGCCTATGGTTGTCATGAAAAGCGATACTGTTTAATGATGAAGGAAGAAATGTTAAATGATGGTCAAGATGAACCAGTCACTTCCATGCCAGAGAAGGGGCAAGCGCCACCAGGCGTTACCAAGCGGGACAGTTCCGTCATGGCCGAGAATATGATTTTCGCTGCGACAGACCCCATCATGAACGCCCCAAGTTGTTGATACATCATTTCTTATTTGTATAGTAATAATAATTTATGAGGATATGATAGCATTTCGCACTACCGGTATGTTGGATGGAATTCATACTGTACCTTACAGTGCGGGTGTACCAGCAGCCATGGGAACCAGACTGGAATGACTTATTTTATATGTATCGGATAGTGCGGAGAGTCGAGATGAGGTACTCGAGTCACGAAGTGTTCGACTAAGTCGACTGTTTAAAACCAAAATAAAGTGCAAAAAATAACACACAATGATAGCAATAGCATGAGTCTCACCATATTGCGTCTTCTTTTCTTTCTACTGCTAGTTTACATACACGAGGGAGTCCATTGTCTCATATTCCGACCGTGCAGTCGATCTCTGTCTCCACGCCCCAACACAAAATCCAGAGAAAATGGAGCTTCAGCGCTAGCTCTTGGGAAGATTTCCATGGCCCCAGTCTTGGTGAAATTTCCTACCTCACAGTCAACATTTTCCTCTGAAACTTCTCAAATATCGAACGAATTGGTCCAAGAGCTCTTGCTACCACCAGAACGACGCGATCAGGATCGAATTTCTTCGTTGGCGAAGCAACTCGTCCAAACCAAAGTTTCCTTTGACCCCACTGAATGTTTGGATGGACCCTTGTATTTCAGCAATGTCATTGAAGGTCCCTCTCCGCTGTGGGAAAAGCTTGGGATTCCATTGATTAGCAAGAACTTGCAAGGGCAACAGTATACATACAATTCCAAGGAAAAGTCAGTAATCAACTATGCCGAAATCTTTGGTTCAGGTACGTTGTTTGTTGCTACCACGAACAATAAATGATACTTGCGTCACTTTTCGCTCAAGCTGTTTCCTTCTCTTTCATTGTAAGCACTTCATTTACGAGCCTATGGTACTTATGAGCAAGACGTGTCTTCACCACTTCTGGAGGAGAGCGAGAATAAGGAGAACGATCCGGTGTCATCCTTTTTCCAGAACGCATTCTCTTCTCTGACTCCAACAACTGCACAAATGCCAGAACTTCTGACTTGTCCAATAGACTTTGTCGTTACGGTCGAGAAGGCATCGATCTGTCTTGGTGACAATAATCGAATCAATATTCCCATTTCAGGCCAAGGCTATCTGAGAGTCTTGTATGCGGATCCCAAACTCCGCATCTTTGTCAGCCCCAAGTCCACTACAGATGATCGATGGGAAAAGGAAGGGCTCATGGTGGCCCAAGTGGCAGTGGATCAAAAGGATCCAAGCTTTGGGCTTCTATCGTGACAGACGTAATTCGAACTATGATGGGGGGTTTAACATACTGTACTGTAGCATTCTGAACGATAGCTAGCGTCAACAACAAGATGATTGATTCATTCATTCAGCCAAAAAATGGTGACAGGAATAATGATATGGTAGTCCTAGCAAGCATAGTGTGCGAATACTTTAATTGATTATAAATTACATAATATGCTGCTTCTAAAACAATGTATGGATGCAATGGGGTTGCTCGTGATAGTTGCTATCGTTACACTTCAGCCAGAGAGTCGGCGCGAGACTCTCCAGCTTTTGAACCACCCCTGCTGGAACCTTGAGAGGCATTGGTAGCCACAGTCGCGGAACCAGATCCAGCGTATGCTCGAGCATCAAAACTGTGATGACTTCTGGGAGAAGATGAATGGCTACTGCTGTTGGCGTTTTTCTTGTTCTTGGCAATCTCATATTCATAGGGTGCCCGATGCAACGTGTTGCTCAAGTGGGCCAGAATCCATCGATAATCCGCCTTGATGTCTTCATCAAACAATGAAACATTCAGTTCGGCTACCAAGAACTTGAGCATGTCGTGATCCTTTTGCTTCACAGCCAACTTCAATGGAGTTCGGGCTTTGGAGGTTCCGATAGGCAAAGATTTCAGGTTACCCTTGCTCTTAACTTCGGTGGTCACTGGAGCACAGCGTTCTTTGCATAGCCACCGAACCAATTCGACATTGCGACCGAGAATGGCCATGTGAACGGGATACCTACGATGTAGAAATAACAATTATGAGAGATGAATGACAAAATCGAGTTCATAAATACTGGCCGATTTCCACAAAATACTTACATGATTTCTTGTCCTGATTTCTTCTTGGACGAGATGTACGGTGTCCGGAGGTTAACATTTCCAGATTCGTACAACTTTGTAGCTTTCGTCAAGTTGCCTTGCAGGACGGCATCTTGAAAGTTGTTGGCCGACCAATCGCATGCCAGACAGACCGAATGAGTCGACTTGGAGGTTTGGTAGGTCGATGGGAAGCGTTTGCTGGACCAAATGACGGTACACTTGGAACAAACCACCACTCCACAGTTGCGGCAATTGTGAGGCCGGTTAAAGACGGCAAATTTGGAGCTGCACATGACGCAAATTGGATTGGTCTTGAAGGGTTGCAAGTACGGCGTTGCCATGGCAAGACCAGTTTCACGAGCCTCTCGTTCCGTCTTGGCCGAAAAGACAGCCTTGGAGCGATCTTGCTCCGTCGTGTTTCCCTCGTCGTAAGCCTTTTGGTCCGTAACAACCGAAGCAATCCACATATTGGTGGTCATGTTTTGCTGTACGTTCCAAGGCAAAAAGTCTCTCTTGCGAATATATTGGTCCGGAGCCACTGATAGTTCCTGCGAAACATTCCTTCCCTTTCCACCACCGCCAAAGAGCTTTTCCTTGACATTCTTGTGTTTGTGTTCTTCCAGTTCCTCCTCTTGAAACGAGCGATTCGAAGCATTGTTTCCTCCATGTTCCATCACGACCACTGCCGCTTGTGCGGTTTCTTGCAAAATCTGCTTTCGAATCCGATCTTCCAAGATATCCGGATGTTCCTGCACTTCTGCGGCAATCACCAAATCATCCGAGGTGATCACGGACATTTCTGGCGCTTCGGATACCTGGACACTGCTCCCATCATAGTAGTCGGCTTGGTCATCGTCAATGCTGGAAGAATCTTTGGAATTCTGTGGGGACGATGCCAAGGAAGGATTCTCGTGGACTGGTACACCCATTCCCACGTCTTGGTCATTCAAGTCATCGATGTCCATAGGACCACCACCACTATATGCAGAAGCTCCCGCCGGAGAGGATGCTGACGCTGGCACGTACCCTTGTTTGGAAGGCAAGGCCGACATTGGTGAATTTGGTGAGCGATAGGAATCTCCAGACGCGGTACGCGCATTGGGACCGGCCATGCGGCGGGCCCCTGGTTGGGGAAGGTCCGGATGCGGAGGTGGCATGTTTTCCGATCGTATCCGCGGTGCTGGCGACAGAGGCGCATCGTTTCCAATGGTACGTTCGGCTCTTGCGGAATGGCTGGAAATGTTGGACGATGCCGCCGAAGCGACTGCCGCCGCCGAAGTAATAGGAGCAATGGCAGGTGCAGAAGCTCGGCTGTTGACGCCAGGGACTCGATGAGCGCCCGGACGAGGAGCGGGAGACAGAGAACGAATGGCTTTGCTACTACTAGGTCTGACTGATGATGCCGCCACATGATAGGCACCAGGTGCCACTCCTGGAGCCATTCGTGGTCCAGCTCTGCTTCGTCTCTTGGCAGCCCTATCTTCTTGCTGTTGCTGTTGCTGTTTTTTAGAAGGTTGTTTCGCCGCAGCTGCGCGGACAGGCGACGGTGGTGGTTTGGCATGTGCCACGGGTGGCTTTTCTTCTACAGCCGCAGTAGCACTTTGCCTCGAAGTAGTTTCTTTTGCTTTTTGTTCTTTGGCTTTTTCTTCAGCTTCTTTTTCTTCTTGTTGAGCTGTCTCCAATTCTTGCGAACTATCCGTTAGATCATCATAAGAATCATCAGAGGCGATAGAGGGCTCTTCCTTCTTTTCCTCTTCTGTATTTTTATTATTATTCGTTGATCTTGCTGCTGTTGTTGCTCTTGTTGTTGGCAAGGAACTTAGCTTGGGCATCTGAACATCCTCTTTCATCGTATCCTTGGGCGATCCCTTGGGTGTAATGACAATGTTCCCAGTATGATCAATGGAACAAATACTGACGGGTGAATCTCGTTGGCCCGATTCCGACACTTTTCGTTCGTGGCCGTGCGACATTGGCGAGGATCCAGGCGAAGGTCCTCCCGGAGACGATCGAGGTGAAGCAGAAGATTCCTGTGAATACGATGATCGAGCCGGAGAATCAGGAGGCGATACTGGTGTTGGTGACTTTTCTTGGTGTGGTTGTTGGTGATCGGATAATGTCATTTCATAACTCGACGAAGCGTTAAATGTGTCAGCCGTTGCAGTATCATGACTGGACTTGTTCTCAATCTTGTCGTTGTTGTTGTTATTCTTGTTGTTGGCAGTGTCATTATCATTGTTATCAAGTGGGAACTCGGGCGGTACAAGGTTGGTGGTGGCAGTATCATCCTTCCCAGGGACACGCGATTCGGTTCGAAAGCTCAGCGGGAACTCTTTTGGGGATAATGGATTCATTTGTGGACTGCCTTGTGCAGACGCCACGACCTTGGAAGGTCTGACAGGTGAATGTACTGGCGAACGAGCAGGAGAGTTGGCATTACTTCCTGCAATCGTAATCTCTTTGCTGATGGAAGCCGCCATGATGGTCAAATCACCGACCGTTTCCTTCATGACCTTTTGAATCTCCTTGACGGTTGTGGGACTCTTCATTCCGTTAATGGTCAAGATGACCATTCCAATCTGCAGCTTGGAATTGGCAAACTTGCTCGTGTCTTTGATTCCTGAAATGTAAAGCGTATTCCAGGCATTGGAACGCTTCACCACGAGGCCAATCTTTTCATTCTTTTGTTCCTTGACTGCGTTGGCATAACATATGGATTCGAAATAGTTGGCAATGTCGATGGAGGTTCCTTTGGCAGATGTCATGTTTTGGTTTTCTTAATCTTAGAAAGAAGGAACACAAAGCTTATCCTGAATGTTGTTTTCGCTGTTGTGTTGTAGACTAATGATCAGAAGGGATAAGTAAGCAGGTTTGATGTTCAGCAGACGAATAGTTCTATAGTCGTGTGAGACTGAATGGGAGAGGTGCCTAAAATTACAAAGACCCGAGGTGATAATAATACTTCCTTCATCCATCACAGCAATTACACAAGACCAAACAAGACATTGGTTTTCTTGCGATCGGATGTTTCAAGCGCCAGCGCAAAGCGTTGCACTAAGTGCGGAACGTTACGCGTGTCACAGTTCCCTCCAGTTTCTTATGAATCGAAACGGTGTTTGTACTAATAGAAGCCTGGCGGGCCGTCCGAAAGTGTCAATGAATTCCAAAGACTCGCTTTTCACCATGTGTTTCGTTGACAGGCTTGTTTTGGTAACGGCAATTCATTCGCTAAATTACAGCAATTTGGTACGATTGATTGATTCCATCGACTGAAAAATTAGCGTTTCGTCTGTCCACCCACCCGAACAAACAAATCGGAAAATAACAAAAGTTCTGAGATCATGTTTTGCCTGCGTCAGCAGAATGAAGGAGATCTGCGTTTTTGTATTGGTGGAGTGAGTCATCATTCAACGCAGGTTGTCACAGTCAGCAGACCAACTGGTTTCCAAGCACACACAAACACACACACACAAACACACAAATTTTTGCTGAGAATAATACAAGACAATGAAGTTCTCAATAGCCGCCACTACCGCATTGTTGCTTGCCGATTCGTCGCAAGCCTTTGTCAATCCTTCTGGATCCTTCAGCAGCTCTACCCGCATGAACATGGCAATGGATGCTCCTGACATGCAAGCTGCTGCAGCCACTGCCTCTAGTGACCTTCCAGTCATTCAAAGATCTCAATACGGACCTTCTGATGTCCGATACTCGGACTTTCTCCGATTGGTCTCTGGTGACCGCATTGAAAAGGTGACCTTTAGCTCGGATGGATCTCAATTGCTGGGTGTTGATGTCGATGGAACACGTCTCAAGATTGAAGCTCTTCCCAATGATCCCAGTCTTCTTAATGAACTCACGGAACACAAGGTATGTTATGGTATATACTACTATGTTGCTATGATGCTATATTGAAAGGCACTTGCCTGATGATGATGGGTCATTGTGACGGGATTTGATGACATGTCTCTCACACTCAAACATCTCTTACTCACCCCACGTTAATAGGTCGATGTCACTGTCCTTCCACAACAAGAAGCTTCTGGTCTTGGTGACCTCGCTCAATCTCTCATCTTCCCTGCTGCTCTCTTTGCCGGTCTCTTTTTCCTGAGCCGCAATGCCGGTGGTGCCGGTGGCGGCATGGGAGGAGGCATGGGCGGTGGACCCGGAAACCCCATGGGATTCGGAAAGTCCAAGGCCGAAATCCAAATGGTCCCCGATACCGGTGTCACTTTTGACGAGGTGGCCGGATGCGACGGCGCCAAGTTGGAATTGGCCGAAGTGGTCGACTTTTTGAAACAACCCGAAGCGTACACCAAGAATGGATGCCAAATTCCCCGTGGTGTCATTCTCGATGGACCTCCCGGTACTGGTAAGACCCTTCTTGCCAAGGCTGTGGCTGGAGAAGCCGGAGTTCCATTCATCTCCATCTCTGGTTCCGAATTCGTCGAGATGTTTGTCGGTGTCGGTGCCTCTCGCGTTCGTGATATCTTTGGACAAGCCAAGAAGAATGCTCCCTGCATTATCTTTATCGATGAGATTGATGCCGTCGGTCGCCAACGTGGTGCTGGATACGCCGGAGGTAACGACGAACGTGAACAAACGGTCAATCAAATTTTGGTCGAGATGGATGGGTTCGACGGAAACCCAGGAATCATTACCATTGCCGCCACCAATCGTGTCGATATTTTGGACTCTGCCCTTTTGCGTCCCGGACGCTTCGATCGCAAGGTCACGGTCGACCTTCCTGACTTCAAGGGACGTACCCGTATCTTGGGCGTCCACTCTCGTGGAAAGCCTTTGGAACCCGATGTCGACCTCGAGGCCATTTCCCGTCGTACTCCTGGATTCTCGGGAGCTCAATTGGAGAACCTCATGAACGAAGCTGCCATTACGGCTGCCCGCAAGGCCAAGACCACCATTGGATGGGAAGAAATTGATGGTGCCGTGGACCGAATCATGGTCGGTTTGGAAAAAAAGGGAGGAAACCAAGTGGCCAAGCAAAAGGAATTGGTGGCCTACCACGAAGCTGGACACGCTGTTGTTGGAGCTCTTGTCCCTGATTACGATCAAGTCCAAAAGATCACCATCATTCCCCGTTCCAACGGTGCTGGTGGTTTGACCTTTTTTGCCCCTCAAGAATCGCGTCTTGAATCTGGCATGTACAGCAAGCAATACTTGGAATCCCAACTTGCCGTTGCCCTTGGTGGACGTCTCGCCGAAGAACTCATCTACGGAGAAGACATGGTCACCACTGGTGCTTCCAACGATATCCAACAAGTTGCCAACATTGCCAAGCGCATGGTCAAGGAATGGGGAATGAGTGACAAGATCGGACGCATTGCCTTGAGCGAACCATCCGGTGGAGGTCCATTCATGGGAATGAACATGTTGCGTCGTCAAACCATGTGGGGTAACAAGATTTTGGGAACTGTCGAAGAAGAAGTCGAACGTCTTGTCAACAACAGTTACTTGATCGCCAAGAAGATTTTGGACGAGAACAAGGACCTCCTCGAACACTTGACCCAAACTCTTCTCGAACAAGAGGTTGTTTCTGCCGAAGAATTCCAAATGATGTTGGTGGAATACAAGGCCAAGACTATTGACTACGCTCTTCTCGGAGAAGAGAGAAACCGCGAAAAGCTTCCTTTCCAAGCCCTTCCTCTCAAGGTTTAAAAAAACATCTTGTGAGATGATGAACATTGAACATGACATGTTTCGATAGAATACTTTTCAGCTAGATCCTACTTTTTCATTTTCATTAATTTTCCTCTTTTAGTGAAAGAACAGGAGAAACTTTTGGAGTCTAAGAAATTGTGTCAGCAGTCAATGCACTTATAATAAGGAGGTAGAGCTTGGCTGTTACAAAGGCATACAACTTGGTGGCAACCGTACTTCTGCGATGGAACTATTTGAAAAGTCTCGAGGAATGAATCAAGCGACTTGAACTTGGAGGTGGAGAACATTGCGATCTTTTTGAAACATTGCGACCAAAAGTATGGGGGAGATATCATCGCATCCTTCTGTTGCACTTGGATGTCGAAACATGGCGCTGGTGTTATTGGAGAAGCAAGGAAAACTCGACGCTGCCTCGGAGCTTTAACGGTCGCTCGATCGCTCGCTAGATATCTACAAAGCCAATGTTGGGGAGAAGCATATATATCTTAGTGGCTGATATATACAATGCCATGGCATATTCGTACAAGCTTTAGGGTGACCGAGGGAGAGCCAAGGAGCTGCTACCGTTAGAATCACTGAGCATCAAGAGTGATTGAAGCTGGACTGCGAAGGAAAATTGTCAATCAACGGCGTCGGTCACCAAATATTAGTCCTATCTCAAGAAGGACAGCAATCGTCTAATTTGAGCTGTACGGTACTGTAGCATACCACAACAAGTCATGGAATCGATATACTGTATTATAAAAATATGTAGCGTGATGCATTTGTGCAGATTTTAAAAGTACAATACCGGTAGGCCTAAAAGGTTTTGAAGTGGTTTCTATGCATACCGGTACCGGTAGATGATTATCTTGATTCGTATTCAAGATGTCGTTTGGCAAACGGTGGGTCACAGTTCGGTCAAAATGAAAAATATGCATGTACCGGTACCGTTATTTCACGTGCTTTGTTTCATTTAGGGACACGAGTGCGTTATATAAAAGTATATATCATAATATATATTGAATACGAGTGCATGTGTTCTTATTTATCCCTCATATTTATGGTGACGATTCACCACCATCTGACCGTCCGTTCCATGAAGATATTTCTGTCAAACCGATTGCACATTGTTGCGTTTGTGATTGTCATACCGTAGATACTGTTTTATTGCATCTGAGGTTGAAAGTTCAAAGTGGCGCCTGCTATTGCCCCAATCTGTTCGTAGCACATAATGGCGGAGCCAAGTTCCACTTATCTATACGTGCCCAGTGAGGATGAACAAAAGGCAATCAGCATCCTTTTGGTCTTGTCTGCCAGCCTTTCATTGGTTGGTTCCTCCTGCATTGTTTATCATGTCCGACACAACAGCAAGAGCACGCCTTATCGAAGAATAATGCTTGGGATGAGCGCCTGTGATATCGTGTCTACGATAGGCTACGCCTTGCAGCCATATGTCGGTCTGAAAGGAGAATCAAACTCCTTTGTATGGTCTTTTGGAAATGCTGCTTCCTGTTCGTTTATCGGTGCACTGGCGCAGTTTGGATTTTCAGCTCATCTGTACTCGGCGGCGCTTTCCTATTACTTTCTGTCAACCATTCGGTATGGTACCCGTGAAGCTGTCTTTGCGAAAAAGTACGAACGATGGATACACGTAGCAATTATTTTATGGTCTGTGGCGACCGCGATCGTCGGTATTGCTTTGGACATCTTTCATCTCAATGATCTAGGTCCAGGATGTTGGGTCAGCGGCACTCCAGACTGTACTGGTGTTCGGTGTTGGGCTGAGCTAATAGCGTGGGTGATGGGTGGTATTCCAACGCTGCTGTCGTTCTTTTCTATTTTGATCAACAATCTGAAACTGTACTGTTTCGTACGCCAAACTGTGCGAGAGGGCCAGCGGAGAGCCTTGGAAAAAGAGAGCCAGATGATATCTTACAGACTAAATAATCATCAACAAGTACAGGATAATGTTCCAATGGATACTTCCAACCACAACAAGGAGACCAGGAGTATGAAGAGACAGTCAAGTGTATTGACATCATCTGAAAAGCAATGGAAGCGGGTGCGAGAAGTTGGTAGACAATCCTTTCTCTATGTCGGAGCCTATTTGCTTTCATTTCTTTGGACCATAATAAAACAGGCGCTTGACGGCCAAGATTTTGAGAGGTCTCCTGGCTCGGGAACCTTTCTGTTACCATTATCGATATTACAGGCCATCTTTCTTCCAGCCCAAGGGCTGCTGAATGCGCTCATATTTTTTCGGCCCAAATACAAGCAAGCTCGAAAACTATACGGTGAGCAACCCCGACTATGGTTAGCCAGAAGAGCCGTACTTGGAGGCAACCTACGTTCCATGGAGACCAACACACTTGATCCAATGAGTCGTCGTACTACTGGTGGATCTAGGGCCCCAGTGAGCCAACGTAGTGTATCAGCGTCGGTGGTAGTGGGACAAAAACGGGTCAACTTTGCCGGGGAAGTTGTATCGCGATGCTCGAATCCAATGCTGGATGTGCCACAGAATGAGGCATTGCCTGCAGAAGGAGAGCACCAGTCGACGCCATCTGAGCATGGGTAGGCGGTGGATTTTCGCTTGAGCATTATCCTACCGCGGGGCTGAAGATCCTAAAGAACTCTGCTGGCTCGTAGAAGCTGTATGTTGCAGACTTTTGCAGACCATCAGAAATGAGCCAGTCATCAGCTTGCCGATGAGAAATGCAATTCCTCGATGATCGAAATGGAAACGAACTTCATAGCGGTGGCTCAATGGAGGAAATGATTGCAAATTGCAAGAGTTTCTTCGTACAAGAAAACTCGAAGGCTTGCCCGATCATGGAAACAACGATTCAATCTTTCCAATGTCATCCTTTCGATCAATATTGAATGTATTTCCTATTTTTTTGCTTGATATTGCCAGCCAGAAGCCAACAAGACTTGGATTTTGTCTCAGACATGCCGTTGATGCAAGAATCGATCCAAGTCGTCAATAAACATTTATTCTCTCCCAACTAAAGATATATTGACATGACAAATTCGCTCAGACTCTTGGGTAATTGAGGAAAGTAGAAGCGGTTGCTGCTGGGTCACCGAGCATGAAGAAGAAGAAGAAGCTGGTCGAGTGATTGAAAGAAGATCGCTCTTGCCGATCTCAAATTGTCAGTTCTATCTCCAGAAGGGCAAAATCCGTTTAATTTGAGCTGTACTAATGCAGCAATGCGCTTTCAATTCATTTCTTTAGAATCCTCCAAAATCAAATTTCGTCCATTTTGGATGTCATATGAGAGGGTCATTAATTTTTTATGATCATTTGTAGAGAGTTGCCGACCATTATATAAATGTTGAGTGTATCATTTATCGAATGTTGATCGTACATTTTTGCGTTTAGCTCATTAAAAAATATGGTACGAGGTACCCGGCCGTTATTATTGTATTTATATATATCATGTAGTTATATACATATAATACCCGGCATTGTATATGTGTTATATGAAGAAAAGCTTCCGGCAAATATTCCAAAGGAGAAGACCAATGATGTACATTATACACTGCATTATTTTATGCGGTTGCACTTCGTGAAATAAGATTGGTGTTCTTGCACCTGAGATTGAAAGTGGCGTCTGCTATTGTGCCAATCTTCTCTTCGTAGCGCATACAATGGTGGAGCCAAGGTACACTTATCTATACGTTCCCAGTGAGGAGTCACAAAAAGCAATCAGCATCCTAATGGTCTTGTCAGCAATTCTGTCGTTGGTTGGTTCCTCCTGCATCGTTTATCATGTCCGACACAACAGCAAGAGTACGCCTTATCGAAGAATAATGCTTGGGACGAGCGTCTGTGACATTGTATCTACGATTGGCTACGCCTTACAGCCATATGTGAGCCTTCGTGGAGAACCGAGCTCCTTTGTCTGGTCGTTCGGAAATGCTGCTTCTTGCTCCCTCATTGGTGCACTGGCCCAGTTTGGGTTTTCGGCTCATCTATACTCAGCTGCACTTTCCTACTACTTTCTGTCAACCATTCGTTATGGTACTCGAGAAGCTACCTTTGCCAAAAAGTACGAGCGATGGATTCATTTCACGATTGTCTCGTGGTCTCTGGTGACCTCGATCATTGGCGTGGCTTTGGATGTCTTTCATCTAAATGATTTAGGTCCCGGATGTTGGGTCAGTGGTGCTCCCTTTGGTGAATGCACTGGCTTTCGGTGCTGGGCGGAACCAATAGCGTGGGTGATGGGTGGTATTCCAACGCTGCTGTCGTTCTTTACTGTGTTGATCAACAATTTGAGACTGTATTGTTATGTGCGAATAACAGTGAGGGAAGGACAACGAAAAGCCTTAAAAAAAGAGAGCCAGATGACATCCTATAGAATACACAACCATCAACAAGTACAGGATAATGATCCAATTGATACTTCCACTGACAAGGAGACCAGTACGACGACAAAGTCCAGTGTACTAACATCTTCTGAGAAGCAATGGAAACGGGTACGAGAAGTGGGTAGACAATCCTTTCTCTATGTTGGTGCCTACTTGCTTTCCTTCTTTTGGACCATTGTCAAGCAAGCGCTTGATGGCCAACAGTTTGAGAGATCTCCGGGATCGGGCACCTATCTGTTACCAATATCGATATTACAGGCCATCTTTCTTCCAGTCCAAGGACTCTTCAATGCGTTGATTTTCTTTCGACCCAAGTACAAACAAGCTCGACAGAGGCATGGTGCACAATCTCGACTATGGTTGGCTAGGAGAGCCGTACTCGGAGGAAACATGCGCCCAATCGAGACCAACACAATAGACCCAATGAGTCGCCGTAGTACTGCAACTAGAGCTAAAGCAGCGAGCCAACCTAGTGCCACTGAGTCGGCAGTGGAGCAGCCTAGTGCCTCTGAACCGTCTGCTGCTGGGCAAAACCGCGTGAACTTTACCGGGGAAGTTGTGTCGTGCTGCTCGAGTGCCATGACAGATGCTCCACAAACTGCTTCGTCGGCGCCTGCCGAAGAGCATCCAACAGAGTCAACAGAATAGTGATGGGATACTATACTCTGGAGTTCCACTTGCGGATAAATATCGTGAGAATTAATGAATCAAAGGCTCCGAAAAGGCTTATTAGAGACCGACAAAAATGGGTCAGCCATCAGCTTCATGATGAGAAGACGCACAGTTGGACTCATCGATGATCCAATTAATGTACCCTGACTGTTGGGCAGCGATCACATATTGCAGCCACGAAGGCACTGTTGGCAACGATTTAACTGAAGAATGAATCACTCTGCTAACGTCGTGCATAGGTGGATATTGGATAATTTCCGACTAAGAGGCCGCAACAGAATTTCAAAACAACTGGAAGAACTTATCGGAGAAATTACAGTTGGAACATGCAACTGCAAAGTCTTCTATTCCAGATTTATAAAGAACGGCACAATCGCACTTTGTAACAAGACGTGTATAATAAATTCCTTTTCATATCATTTTACTAGTATCCGATCCATTACCTTGTTTCCACCGCATAAGAAGATGATTCTGCTATCTGTTTTCGGGCGATGATATCGGCACTGATCTCCTTACACAACTTCTCGCGTTCGTCTTCAGTCATGTTGGCCTTGAGGCGATGAGCCTTTCCAAACATCTCGAAGTCCTCTTCAGCTTGAGTGGTGTCAATCATCTTTCCAGATCGCTGCCACCAAGAAACAGATCCGTCAAGTTCCTTGACAACCTTCTTTTGTTCCTTGCGGGAAAGACACTTGAATGGAGTTTGGCCAGGAGCACCAAAGTCCCCGTGGAATTCTTCAAGAGCGTTGGTAGCTTCCTTGTGGCGGAGCATGACTGGAACAGTCTCCATACGGTCGGCTACAACATCGTAGTCCTTGCCTTTGTGCTTCCACCAGTTCATGGCGCTGATCATCTCGTTGACAGTTTGCTCGGATTCTACTTGGGAAATGTTGGTAGCATTTCCTCTGCGCCATTGCAACATAGCATGCTTCAATTTCAATAGAGAAGCTCTCTCTCCAGACTTGACCTTCAAATTAGCAACATCAAAGTTTTTGCCGGTATCGTGGTAGAGGGCGAGAACTTCCTTGATCTCATCCACTGCATCTCTTGACTTCTTGTAGGTGAAGGCATCTTCGGGACCCAATGGGATCCACATTTCCAAGGTGCTCTTGGCCATTTGAGCCATGAAGATTTGCCCCTTGTCAGCAGTTTCAAAGTCAAAGTTCTCCCCGTTGGCAACCCACCAATCCATTGCATTCTCGATTCCATGGGCAAGAGCCTCGCCTTCATCAGATGCGATGGTATCGGATTCGGCTCCCTTCAGTCTCCAATCAATGATAGCTTCTTGGAGTCGTTTGCACTTGGCACCTTCTTCTCCGTCGAACTTGTCGATAATCTCGGGATTGTACATGTTGCGGCGAAAGGAGAGGAGAGACTCCGCGATCTCCTTGAGCAGATCGGGAGAAGGATCGGCCTTCTTCCCCCAGAGACCCATGAGAGCTTGTGCCTTCTTGAAGCTCGACCTGTATTTCTTGTTGACCTTGGACAAATCCTCGATCTTGTAACCCTTGTCGAGGTACCAGTCTAGGGCATCATCCATTTCTTTGGCCATGTACTTCATATCACACATGCCAAGGGAATCACGCTTCATTGGCAGAAGAGCATCCTTGACCTTCTTCATCTTTGCAACAGTGGGCTCATCAAGGTCGTCCAAAGGTTTTCCCTTGTATTTTTCCCACAAAGACATAGCTTCTTCAATCTCTTGATTGCGCTTGTCCCATTCGTCACCTTCCTTTAGCCCGAACATCGCGAGCATCTTCTTGGACTTGAAGTACATGTCGATTTCATCGGCAGAAGCGGTGAGAGGGTCGTACTTGGTAGCATTGAGTTTCCACCAGCTAAGAGCATCGTCCAATCCCTCGACTCCATCGTTTTCCTTCAACTTCCAGCCAGCAAAGAGATCTTTTATTCGGTTGATCGTGGCACAGTTGTAGTTGGGATGATTAGTGTCGAATGCACCACTCAAGACGAGACCGAGAGATCCCTTCAAGTCGTTGGCACGCGATTCCGAGTCGTTGGGGTCTTCTCTGATATCATAGCTTTCCCAGTCAAGAGATGGAACTCCCTTTGGCGCCCATTGTCCAAATAGATCATTGACCTTCTTGAAAGTTCCTTGGTTGTACTCGAATTCGGCAGCATCCTCAGTATACTTGGTGGTACTATCTTGCAGCCACTTGAGAGAGGATTCAAGTTCCTTGGCTTTCTTTTCGGCAGAAAGCTCCTTGGATTCGACCTTGTAGGCGCCGAAGGCCTTGTTGACCTTCATTGCCTTCTTGGTGTCAGCGTTGAACTTCTTGTCGCTAGGAGGCCTATATTCCTCGTTGGAAGACAACCATCCGACAACCTTCTTGATGGTGTCCAGATCGTCAAAGTCTTCGGTAGCCTTCTCAACATCGTCTTCGTTGTAGGCAAACCCGCACTTCAAAGTGTCACTGAGTTCCTCTGTGCGTGGTCCCTCTTCGTCATCATCGTAAGCCAAAGCAGCAATTGGCTCGTAAGTTTCTTCTTCCATTGCGGGCTCCGATTCGGACTCGTCGACTTCTTGTTCCCTGGCAGCCTTCTTGGTAGCCTTCTTGGCCTCAGCCTTCTTCTTGGCCGCAGCTTTCTTCTTGGCTGCAGCCTTCTTCTTCACCTCAGCCTTCTTCTTGGCTACAGCCTTGGATTTGGCTTGCTCAGAATGTTGGTACTCAGCCTTTCGAGCTTCAGCCTTGCTGACCTTTTTGTTGCTCTTCTTATTCTCTGTCTCATCTTGACGATGCATTATTAGAATGGCCATTAGACGATCGGGCATATCCTCAGTTTGAAGGGAAGAGTCATTGGAGAAAAGAGACATATCGGTTTACGCGTTTTGTACGGCGGACAGTCTGATCGTGGTGGACCAGTAGGTACCCTATATGGTAGACTGTACCGGTATCTGACTTCGATATTTGACGCGTTTTGCCCTCAATAATATGCAACGCGGCGTGCGGTGATATGACTGCGCGTGTTTGATTTGATGTTGAAGTGTTCAAGGTGGATTTGGACCTATCAAAGTACTTCCACGTTAAACACACCCAAACGCAACGATCGTCAAACACCAAAACCTCACCACCATGACAGTTAAAGTCTACACTGGCTTAGAATTAGATTGAATTTTGTGGTTGAATGTTAATATATTGTATTTTACCTAGTTGTGGGATGTCATGGGAGGAAGTCGTTGCCTAGATACAACTGGAAACCTGCTCATTCTTACCCCTGATGCTGGAGCAACGGTGCACAATCATTCAGCCATGATCTGTAGATTTTCGTCATCTTTGATTTGCCCGGCAAGTTGCTGTACAAGCAGTCATATTCCTCATTACTCTTCCATGTATCCTCTCTGAGCGCTCTCATTGGAGAATTGGCCTTGTCCCTTGCCAACCAATTGCTGCTGCTCCGCTCCTGCCCCTGAAACCATTTTTTAATCAGCTACAGTTGCAATTGCCTTCATATACTGCACTGTTAGATAATAAAAGTCCCCACGATACTCTGAGGCACTTAGTCTTCCGTTGTTTGGCATAACATAGTCCTAATACTATGAACCTTAAAGTTGTCAATAAAACTTCTTGCTTTAGTTTAGATAAGAGTTTTCGAATGACTAAGGCAAAGCCCACACCTTCCTTTGGTCATTCCAAAAGCCCTCTACAAAGTTTTAACTACTACAATTAAATTGTTTATCTTTTGAACAATATCTGTCCATGATTGGTACTCCTTACTCTCACGGTTGATGTATGACAGTTTAGACTTGTCACTATCTGACTCTGAGGAGTCGTCTGTTCGACTTCCAACACACCCCTTAACTGAGACTTCCTCATCGTCCTCTAGTATAGTATCAATGTGCTTGTATCCCAAAACCACATCGCGAAACCTTCAAAAAGACCACCTTGCAAAGGCTTGGTGAAAAAATCTGCCAGCATTTTTGCGGTCGGATAGCAGTACATCACATCGATTCCCTCTGACATAAATTGATCCTTTTTAATAAAATAGAAACAATTGTTGATGTGTTTGGACTTTTTCCCGGCTGACTTCTTACCGTTCAAAAGCACCTCCATAGCGCTCTGATTGTCCTGGTACAGCGTGGTCTTCTCTAGCTCAAATCCTTGCTGTTCCAAAAACATTCTTACCCAAATCATGTTCGTCAAAAAATTGCTCACACCCACAACTTCAATGACTGTTTGATTGTTGGCAACAAGGAACTTGTGTTGACAGAGAAAGAGAAGATGAAAACACTTTTTGAATGTGATGACGTTGGAGAATTGGATGAATATGTGGGATGCAAGATCGATATAAATTGTGATGAAAGATCTGCGAGATTTACCCAGCCTGTGATGATTCAGAGCTTCCAAGATGAATTTGATCTGCCCAATAATGGGCCAGAACCAAAGATCCCTGCAAGAGCTGGAGCAGTATTGACTGGGGGAGAAAAGGCACCCGAGAGAAACTGGATGCTGAAAGAAAGAATGAAGCTGTTTAGATCTGGAGTCGGAAAGTTGCTCCATATGCTGATGAGATGTACCCGACCGGAAATATTGAACTCTGTTAGGGAGTGCTCAAGATACATGAGCAGGGCAATGGAATCGCATCTAAGCGCAATGAAACACATTATGAGATATATTGTTAGAAATAAGCAGACTGTGCTCTATCGTGAGTGCCTTTAGTGCTCAGAACAAACTCTCTGCAATCTAAATTTGTAATCGACTGTACAACACTTCCACACTAATAGTTCTCCTGTATTAGGTATACTTTGAGTGAAATTGTTCCTATTTGATTAATGTTTGGCTTGAATTGATGTTTCAATCACAAAATTGAGTTCAGCAAATTTCCTTTGGGAAATCCCTTGTTTACAGAACTTAATCTGACTTCTACGAGGATTCTGTGTGGAATACAGCACTTTGGGACATCTTGTAATATTCCCTTACTGCATCGTACACAACATCAATATTCCACTTGTATAGGGTCATTCCCTCTTCATGTGGATACAGATTGTCCGACAGACTTGCGTCAAATTGCTGACATCATGATTAAAATCCGATCTTGCGTGTCAAAACTTCCTACTTGAATAATTTTTCAAGGAACGCAAAAACTCATATTTTGTCATATCCCAACATACATTGTGCATACACAAAGACGTGGAGTTTACCTGAAGCCTGAGGACATCTGGGATGTAAGCCAGGATTACCTTTTTGAGATTGAAGGATGGAGTGATTCCAAATATGCAAAGGATGCGACTCGACACAGCGTTAACGGCTGGTCAACATTCTTGAACAAAGCGCCTGTTAGCCGCAGAAGCAAGATGATGCCGATTGTAGCTCTTAAAGTGACAGAAGCTGAACTTTTCTTGGTAGTACAATGTGCTCAAGACATGCTTTATGAGATGCAAATTCTCAATTCATTAAATTTGAAGGTACAACTGCCGGTGAAACTGTATGTGGACAACAAGGCAACTTACAATTTGTGTCACTACTGGTCTGTTGGTGGGCAAATGCGACATGTTGAAGTGAAACAATATTTCCTGCTAGAATGGAAGGAACAAGGATTGATTGAGGTAGTATGGGTAGGTAAGCGGTGCTGATCAAACAAGCGATCTCTTTACCAAGAATCTACCAAGACCTACCTTTGAAAGACATTGAGTGAAATTCTTTGGTGTTGACGAATACGAGGTAAATTGCTCGAAAAATGCAGGGATCGGTTTTGGACGATTTTCAGTCAGAAGACCAGTCATTGTCTTGTAGAACACGTAGAATTAGTACCAATCCCAAATTATGGCGCATCATGCAGCCAACAACGAACTGATTTTGATTTATCCCTTCATCAACAGTGGTCTTCATCAATGAAGCTGAGTCAAATCAACACCCAACGTACATTGACGATAAAGCCTTGTTAAACGCCTGACATTATAGTACCACTCTCATAGGCATTGTCACTACAGAACAAGATGATGACGACCGGACCACCACCACCTCCACCACCACCACCAAATCAGTAATGGCTGGCAACAACACAAACACCAGCAGCACAAACAACAATCGCACTAGCGCAAAGAACAATCACACTGGCTGAAGAAGAGCGGGAGAATAAAATCAAGCTCATGCAATGGCAAGACGAGAAAAGATGAGACAAACCAGAGATGAAGCTGATCATGAGGTTGATCATGTGATTGTGCGTGCTGCAAATATTCAGATGATTCGCAACATGCCAGACACTGATGCCGCCCTCACCAAAGGCCCAGAACGCAAGGGCGGAATTGTTGTTGAGGATGACAGGAGGGCTCCTTTCACATTACAGGGCCCGGATTATGTGAAAGTGGAAGCTGGTTTTTGTCCGGGGTCATGGGAATCACTGCAACTGCTTTTGTATTCAAAGCTTGTATTGAAAGCAAAGGTGAGACGGCCTCAAGATTGGCTTCTATTGTGCCCAAACAAACAAGGTTGCAAAGAAGCTAGTAAGGCAGGGAGTATGACAGGACAATAGTTGCACCAAGTGAACTGGGCAGTGATAAGAGAAAAAGGCGGAGTATACTTGGTGGATTGATTGTAATGTCACTGGAAGGGACACCTGATGATCCAAAGTTTGCATTGAAGAAGTTGTTTGAGCGTAACGTGTTTTTAAAATTGGATTGTCTTGTAGCGATGGGAGGACAATACGAAGGGTGCATTCCTGTTATGCAAGGTGACAATGCAGGGCCGCATGCAGAAAAAGAATACTTTAATTTGGTGCAAGGCACAATGTGAACAACGTGGCTGGCATTGGGAACCGCAAGCTCCACAAATACCGCATATGAACAACTTAGACTTGACAGTGTTCCCCTGCATGTCAAGACGTCATTGTGCAGCCGCGCGAGAGAGGGGAGGGCTCCATGTTTTGAAACAGGATGAAATTTGGGATGCAGCATAGGACGTTTGGAGAACAAGCTTTAAGATTGCATCAGGTTTTGTACAATGCAGCCGGATAGCATCAAAAGTAATTGCATTGGAAGGGGGCAACGATTTTGTTGGAAACAAGATAGAGAATGGCATTCATCGTGATATCCAAAAAGATTACAATGAAACTCCCACTGGGCTTTATAGAAAAGACGGAGAGATGATCAACCCCCCAGCACCAGCAACAGCAGTATAGCTTACCTCTTACTTAGTAACAATTTATTGATTGTATCTCAGAATCAGAATGAATTCAACTTGTAGTTATTGATCTCCGATCCTTCCCTACAGTATATTGGCACTTTTTTGCGTACGTTGAACGTGTTTCACAAAATATAAAAATTTGTGCAAAAACCGGTCCCTGCATTTTTTGAGAAATGGAGCTCGTACATGATGAATAATGCCGATGACAATGAAGCAAACAAGCAGGGGCGAATGTTGGACGGTGCTTGTTTGCTAGACAGATACAGGACGGACAATGACATGAATTGCTAAGTCCAAACATGGATGGGTGTGGTTATGCCTTGTGTAAGGAACTACTTGGGACGTGCATTGAAACATGGACATTGGTATAAAGTCTACAGGACTGTGCGACATGGTGCAGGTTTGGCCTAGTAAAGTAGATGCGTGAGATTCTACACCCATGAACAGAAAGTACAGAATAGAAACGTAGCAGTCAAGGAGCCTTCCAGCATGTATGCTATTTGTGCCATCGTCCGTCCTGTGTCTGTCTAGCAAACAATCACTGCCCGACAGACTTCTCCTTCACATTAACCCTTTTGCGAACAGAATTCAAATCTGAGAGTTTCTCAGATTTGATTATGGTACATTCTACATACGTCAATCAATATTTTGGTCCAATTTTGGATACCTTGGCTTTTCAAATCTGAGAATTTCTCAGATTTAAAAAAAATTGCACGCCAGCCTGCCAAAGGCCAAAATTAATTAAATCTGAGAAATTCTCAGATTTGAATTCGGACCGAAATCACAGACAACTTGCCATCAATTTTTATATATCATTCATGTCATATATATTTTTTAAATTTTTTTTGTTGGAATGCATGATCTCACGGTCAAACAACCAAAGGTGCGCCATATATCTCCCCAAAACCATTGAATATTCAGCATCATGCTTGGATGATACTATACAGGGAGAAGAAACCCACCAAAACTTCTGCTAGTAGCACCTTGCAACCATGGCAGAAGATCTTGCCAATAGAAGAATGCGTGGACTTGGTTCTTGTGTTTGCTGGGCCAGAGGCTCCACCTTATTGTGGCAATCATTGCAAGGCCAATGTCTTCAATTGAATCCATGCGATCTTATTGGAGATGATTGCCGAGCACTGTACCATCAATGCATTTGATCAATTTCCTTGCATAGCAACAATGCCATAGTGAAATCCATTTCCTGGTCATGAGAGTTGCTTTTAAAATGGGAGCAGGATTGAGGAGATCCAACACTTGATACGATTGAAGAATTAGCGATGTGGCGTTTACAAGACAATCAGCTTCATGACGGCATCTTGGAATCAGGCTGGCTCTTCCTAGAAGATGAGACAAGGTTTCATGGACAGCCAATGAATCAGGCTCCCAAGTTGGAAGTCAGAACAAGAACAATAACATTACTATTGAGATCCACCTCCTGGTCAGGAGAGTTGCTTGTCAATTGGAGGCTGAAGAAGATTACCAACCATGGCTATGTAATCTTGTCCGATGAGCTCATAAATAGTACAGTAGCATATGTTTTAAAAAACATTAGGCCTATTACCACCTAGTATAAACTATTTACCTACTAATGACTACCGGTAGGCAGCATCACCAAACAAATGTTGGTGTTGTCCCTGTTAGCTAACACCATACTTTGGCACTGAAAGAATGATAGTCAATCACAGTGAGTCTGGGTCCCATCACAGATGAAAAGTCAATACAAGCACTAACCATAGTGGCACCAACTTTATCTGCTTCGCATTGCCATCAGTCAAATCCATTTCATCAGGCAAAAAGTACTATACTAATACTAATTGGAGCACAATCATTAAGGCAGTGGAACTCTAAGGTGAAGATGATCCATCAATCACTTGCTATTAGTATACTTTTATGAAGTGGAGCAATCATGGAAGCATAAGCACCATGACTGTCCAAAAGGACATCAGCAGGAACTAAGATCAGTTCCAGTTCCAACGAGTAGATTTGTCTCCCTAATAACTAGTCCGGCGCCATTGTTGCATATTTATACATTGGAGCATTCATTCTCTTTGATCTGTACCCTGGGGGAAGCATAGGTAAGCATGACAATCAACTGAAACTCTTGACCAACAAGAAGAATCAGCTGGAACTCACAAACTGGGCCATCAGGTCCAGTTCCATACTTGACAGAATTGCCTCTGCGATGTCCCAATTGCTCACCAGTATGTATTCATTGATTGTAACAATCACCATATTGGACCTATATGGTGGAAGCACATGGTAAGCATGATGATGGATCGAAATTCCGCAACAAGCATCAGCTGGAACTCACCATTTTGTCCATCAAATCCAGTTCTACTCATCAGAATTACCGTGGCCATGTCCCAATTGCTCACCAGTATGTATTTCTTGATTGGAACAACCATCATATTGGACCTATATGGTGGAAGCACATGGTAAGCATGATGATGGATCGAAATTCCGCAACAAGCATCAGCTGGAACTCACCATTTTGTCCATCAAATCCAGTTCTACTCCTCAGAATTGCCTCAACCATGTCCCAATTGCTCACTAGTATGTATTCATTGATTGGAACAATCATTATATTGGACCCATATAGTGAAAGCACATGGTAAGCATGATGATGGATCAAAATTCCGCAACAAGCATCAGCTGGAACTCACCATTTTGTCCATCAAATCCAGTTCTACTCATCAGAATTACCGTGGCCATGTCCCAATTGCTCACCAGTATGTATTTCTTGATTGGAACAACCATCATATTGGACCTATATGGTGGAAGCACATGGTAAGCATGATGATGGATCAAAATTCCACAACAAGCATCAGCTGGAACTCACCATTTTGTCCATCAAATCCAGTTCTACTCATCAGCATTGCCTCGACCATGTCCCAATTGCTCACCGGTATGTATTCATTGACTGGAACAATCATTATATTGAACCGATATAGTGAAAACACATGGTAAGCATGATGATGGATCGAAATTCCGCAACAAGCATCAGCTGGAACTCACAAACTGGGCCATCAGGTCCAGTTCCATACTTGACAGAATTGCCTCTGCGATGTCCCAATTGCTCACCAGTATGTATTCATTGATTGTAACAATCACCATATTGGAGCTATATGGTGGAAGCACATGGTAAGCATGATGATGGATCGAAATTCCGCAACAAGCATCAGCTGGAACTCACCATTTTGTCCATCAAATCCAGTTCTACTCATCAGCATTGCCTCGACCATGTCCCAATTGCTCACCGGTATGTATTCATTGACTGGAACAATCATTATATTGAACCGATATAGTGAAAACACATGGTAAGCATGATGATGGATCGAAATTCCGCAACAAGCATCAGCTGGAACTCACAAACTGGGCCATCAGGTCCAGTTCCATACTTGACAGAATTGCCTCTGCGATGTCCCAATTGCTCACCAGTATGTATTCATTGATTGTAACAATCACCATATTGGAGCTATATGGTGGAAGCACATGGTAAGCATGATGATGGATCGAAATTCCGCAACAAGCATCAGCTGGAACTCACCATTTTGTCCATCAAATCCAGTTCTACTCATCAGCATTGCCTCGACCATGTCCCAATTGCTCACCGGTATGTATTCATTGACTGGAACAATCATTATATTGAACCGATATAGTGAAAACACATGGTAAGCATGATGATGGATCGAAATTCCGCAACAAGCATCAGCTGGAACTCACAAACTGGGCCATCAGGTCCAGTTCCATACTTGACAGAATTGCCTCTGCGATGTCCCAATTGCTCACCAGTATGTATTCATTGATTGTAACAATCACCATATTGGAGCTATATGGTGGAAGCACATGGTAAGCATGATGATGGATCGAAATTCCGCAACAAGCATCAGCTGGAACTCACCATTTTGTCCATCAAATCCAGTTCTACTCATCAGCATTGCCTCGACCATGTCCCAATTGCTCACCGGTATGTATTCATTGACTGGAACAATCATTATATTGAACCGATATAGTGAAAACACATGGTAAGCATGATGATGGATCGAAATTCCGCAACAAGCATCAGCTGGAACTCACAAACTGGGCCATCAGGTCCAGTTCCATACTTGACAGAATTGCCTCTGCGATGTCCCAATTGCTCACCAGTATGTATTCATTGATTGTAACAATCACCATATTGGAGCTATATGGTGGAAGCACATGGTAAGCATGATGATGGATCGAAATTCCGCAACAAGCATCAGCTGGAACTCACCATTTTGTCCATCAAATCCAGTTCTACTCATCAGCATTGCCTCGACCATGTCCCAATTGCTCACCGGTATGTATTCATTGACTGGAACAATCATTATATTGAACCGATATAGTGAAAACACATGGTAAGCATGATGATGGATCGAAATTCCGCAACAAGCATCAGCTGGAACTCACAAACTGGGCCATCAGGTCCAGTTCCATACTTGACAGAATTGCCTCTGCGATGTCCCAATTGCTCACCAGTATGTATTCATTGATTGTAACAATCACCATATTGGAGCTATATGGTGGAAGCACATGGTAAGCATGATGATGGATCGAAATTCCGCAACAAGCATCAGCTGGAACTCACCATTTTGTCCATCAAATCCAGTTCTACTCCTCAGAATTGCCTCAACCATGTCCCAATTGCTCACTAGTATGTATTCATTGATTGGAACAATCATTATATTGGACCCATATAGTGAAAGCACATGGTAAGCATGATGATGGATCAAAATTCCGCAACAAGCATCAGCTGGAACTCACCATTTTGTCCATCAAATCCAGTTCTACTCCTCAGAATTGCCTCGACCATGTCCCAAGCAGTCGCCAGAATGTAGCCATTGTATGGAACAACCATTGTATTGTTTCTATATGGTGGAAGCACATCGTAAACATGACGATCGATCAAAACTCCAGAAGAAGCATTCTCAGCTGGGACCTATAAATGCAGCCATCAAATTCACTTCCACTCATCTGATTTGCACTGCTTTTCATTTCATCCCATTGTCGGCAAACATAGAACTCTTTGGAGAATAGTCTTCATACTGGAGTAATATGATGGAATGAAACTGCAAGCAGCTGGAACAATGAAATGTGTAGTGTTGCCAGAAGCAGCAATAGACATCCTTTAATTTGCGATTCAATCTCATCTGATCCCCATCAGCATTGCTTAATAGATGACCCATTCTTCCAATATTCTGCATGTAGTCATATGAAGAATCTTCTTATCCACTCCTTATTGTGGAAGCATAAGAGGTTTAGGACCAGAGGATCAAAATTGAAAAAAAGCTGGATGCAAGCATGAGTTGAACATTTAGTAACGCATCCATAAACTCTCACCTTTCCTAGGTCTTTGCTGATTGTAGAATATTCAAGGGCAGTGTCAAACTTGATCACATACTATCACATGTATCAGCAATGAGTCAATGCGGTGGCGAGTCATACAAGTTTTGGACTGGACCCAGATGGCAAGCTTTCTTGACTGGGTGTAGAACTGAAAAGAATCGGAACAATGAAACTCATCTATCAACCATCAGCCATTCCAATGCCTTCAATATAGCCATAGAGACATTGCGTTCAGATAATATTCCATGGTTCTTGCCTCCAGACTTGACTCTGGTTCCATTATTGCCCATTAAGATTATGTGATGTTCGTGCCTTTCAGCTTCATTTGGGAGCTACTAGTAGTCGTCTAGAGAAACTAATTGCTCGGCTCACTTCATAGGACCAAGATAGAGAAGAGTGGGACAGACCTGGCATGGCATACCAGTGAAGCCTCCATACAGCAAAGTGGGGAAACAAGAGCAGCAGTGACTGTTGCCACATGGTTGAGAGATTGTTGTTGGA